CTTAGACCACTGCGCCACTCGGGAGGCTATACAGTTAATCTCTTTCCGTAACTTGTGGAGGCGGCAATTAAGGAGAATGAGAGGCTCAATTAGCTATGAGACCATACCAACAGCTGTGCATCGTGGAGCTAAAATTAGCCTACTTTATAATGGATTCACCTCTAGCTCAGTTGGTAGAGCATGGCGCTTGCAACGCCAGGGTTGTGGGTTCGTTTCCCACGGGGGGCCAGTATGAAAATGTATGCACTCACTAACTGTAAGTCGCTCTGCATAAGAGCGTCTGCTAAATGACTAAAATGTAGATAGGCTACAATCCTTAGACAATATACTTATTCTACGGTAGGCTAAGTAGCGGTGACATGAGGACGGATTCTCTGGGTTTTATTTATATGCGGTGCAGAGCTGCATCTGTAGAGGGAGGAATGGGAGAGATGCAGATTGGTGGAACAGGCACCGAGGTAAAATTTGTTTTATACTGAATATTCTGTGGATATTCATTTTTCTCTCGGAACTAGCTATTGAACCAAACATGCCATGACTATGAACATTGCAGATTCTGAATCAGGGGGGGATGCAGAACAATCCATACCTTATTTTCTTCTCCATCCTCCCCTGATTCAGATATAATTTTCATAGTCATGGCACGCTTTGTTTAAGAGCTATTGACGATTGAAATACGAAATCTATTTTTTTAAATATATATATATATATATATAGATAAAATGTGTGGATTGTAAAAATAGAATATCCACCGAATATCCAATATAAAATTAATTTTACCTCTGTTTATGGCGCCTTCATGGAGTCGAAAAACATTCCCACCAAGAAAACATCATGTTTACTCCTTCTTACAGGGTATGTGGAAAGGTACTTGCAAACGATCAGTTATATGAATTGCGTAAACAAGTTTATCCAACTGTTACCTAATTTTGAAGACGCAGCCCAAATTCTATAGGCTATAGAAACAGATTTACATGTAATTGTATGGACATGTTCATAGCTTTTTCTGTCTTTTTCACTAACTTGATTCAGTTCGTATAGTCAGAGTCTTTGTTTCTGTGTTTGTTCTGAGCTTGTCTCAACTCTCCTTCACAGACTGGGTGCCAATATGTTGAGGAAGATTCAAAGGGCGACCAAGCCCGAGTTCTGACTGCTCAGCAAAATATGACACATTAAAATGATTGAATTTATTTTGTGTGTGTGTTTGTGCTTTCCTATAAATTGTCTACAATGTCTTCACTATGGTGACAACATTTATATAACGCTCATCTCCAAGATGTAGCCTGGAGGGGGTCCGTTTTTTATTATATATATATTTTTACTAAACTGTGGTATGACTCTGCAAACCACTAGCCCCCACTCTAAACATCCCAGAGAGAGAGTGTGTGTGTGTGTGTATTATGTAACCGACTCCCTGCCTACAAGACTCTGCCTGCCTCCTTCAGAACAAAGAGAGTTCAGGGAAGTTATGTATCCCTCAAAGTTATGTACCATTCAGAGTAATATATCCTCCAGGAGTTATGTACCATTTAGAGTTATATATCCTCCAGGAGTTATGTACCATTTAGAGTTATATATCCTCCAGGAGTTATGTACCATTCAGAGTTATATATCCTCCAGGAGTTATGTACCATTTAGAGTTTTATATCCTCCAGGAGTTATGTACCATTTAGAGTTTTATATCCTCCAGGAGTTATGTACCATTTAGAGTTTTATATCCTCCAGGAGTTATGTACCATTTAGAGTTATATATCCTCCAGGAGTTATGTACCATTCAGAGTTATATATCCTCCAGGAGTTATGTACCATTTAGAGTTTTATATCCTCCAGGAGTTATGTACCATTTAGAGTTTTATATCCTCCAGGAGTTATGTACCATTCAGAGTTATATATCCTCCAGGAGTTATGTGTCCTTCATACCTCAAAGTTATGTATCCTTCAGGAGGAATTCATCCCAACCCTCAGCGGTACATGACCTCAGTGAACCCATGTTCTGTCCTGCAGACTGTTAAATGTATTGACTGACAGAGGAATTTTACAACTCACATGTTGCAGCACTGAAGGGTATGGGAGAGGAGAGGAGAGGTGAGGAGATGAGAGGAGAGAGAAGGAGAGGAGAGAGAAGCAGGAGGAGAGGAGAGGAGAGAGAAGGAGAGAGAGAAGGAGAGGAGAGAGAAGGAGGGGAGAGATAAGGAGAGGAGAGAGAAGGAGGAGGAGAGGAGAGGAGAGGAGAGGGGAAAGAAGGAGAGGAGAGAGGAGAGAAGGAGAGGAGAGGAGAGAGAAGGAGAGGAGAGAGAGGGAGAGAGAAGGAGAGGAGAGAGAAGGAGGAGGAGAGGAGAGAGAAGGAGGAGGAGAGGGGAGATAAGGAGAGGAGAGGAGAGGGGAGAGAAGGAGAGGAGAGAGGAGAGAAGGAGAGGAGAGAGAAGGAGAGGGGAGAGAAGGAGGAGGAGAGGAGAGGAGAGGAGAGGAGAGGAGAGGAGAGGAGAGGAGAGGAGAGGAGAGGAGAGGAGAGGAGAGGAGAGGAGAGGAGAGGAGAGGAGAGGAGAGGAGCAAATCATTCTGCTTACGTTATTGACTTCTCCCCCCACCCTTACCCCCTCCTTATGCAGTTGTGTAAGGGTGAGATTTGCATATCTTTATGGATGGAGAGGGTGGGACTAACTGGAGGCAAGGGGGGGAAGAGGAAGAAGAGGGAGGAGGTAGGAGAGAGAAGAGTTGGAGGAGAGGGAGGAGGACCACACCGATGAATAATGTTGCGAGCTATAAGGACTATTTTCCTCCTCCACACTTCCCCGCGAGAGTTGGCCTCACACAACGACTTCAACCATGGATGCTGAGAGAAGATGGAGAGAGATTGCCTGAGAGAGTGAGGATCGCCTGCGATACGAGCGTCATGCCAGAGAAGGACTCGAACTGGAGGAGAAGGTGAGAGAGAGAGAGAGAGGAGAGAGGAGACGAGAGAGAGGTGAGAGAGGAGCGACGGAGAGAGATGAGAGAGAGAGAGAGAGGAAGAGGAGAGAGAGAGAGAGGAGAGGGAGGAGAGAGAGAGGAGAGGAGAGGAGAGAGAGGAGAGAGGGAGAGAGAGGAGATGGAGAGAGGAGAGAGAGAGAGAGAGAGAGAGAACAAATGAGATAGGCTACAACAACAAAAAAGAGAGCAGGCAAAATGTTGAGAGAAGAGTGCTGCACAGTAGAAGTGCAGAGAGAGAAGAGATTCTGGGGTTGAGGAGGGTCAGAGTAGAGAGAGGACAGTGGATAATCTGTCAGGACTATTGAATCCATTTGCATTGTGCAAATGAATGAATTGTGGTTCTTCTTTTCCTTCTAACTACACTGCTCAAAAAAATAAAGGGAACACTTAAACAACACATCCTAGATCTGAATGAATGAATTAATCTTATTAAATTCTTTTTTCTTTACGTAGTTGAATGTGCTGACAACAAAATCACACAAAAATTATCAATGGAAATCAAATGTATCAACCCATGGAGGTCTGGATTTGGAGTCACCCTCAAAATTAAAGTGGAAAACCACACTACAGGCTGATCCAACTTTGATGTAATGTCCTTAAAACAAGTCAAAATGAGGCTCAGTAGTGTGTGTGGCCTCCACGTGCCTGTATGACCTCCCTTCAACGCCTGGGCATGCTCCTGATGAGGTGGCGGATGGTCTCCTGAGGGATCTCCTCCCAGACCTGGACTAAAGCATCCGCCAACTCCTGGACAGTCTGTGGTGCAACGTGGCGTTGGTGGATGGAGCGAGACATGATGTCCCAGATGTGCTCAATTGGATTCAGGTCTGGGGAACGGGCGGGCCAGTCCATAGCATCAATGCCTTCCTCTTGCAGGAACTGCTGACACACTCCAGCCACATGAGGTCTAGCATTGTCTTGCATTAGGAGGAACCCAGGGCCAACCGCACCAGCATATGGTCTCACAAGGGGTCTGAGGATCTCATCTCGGTACCTAATGGCAGTCAGGCTACCTCTGGCGAGCACATGGAGGGCTGTGCGGCCCCCCAAAGAAATGCCACCCCACACCATGACTGACCCACCGCCAAACCGGTCATGCTGGAGGATGTTGCAGGCAGCAGAACGTTCTCCACGGCGTCTCCAGACTCTGTCACGTCTGTCACATGTGCTCAGTGTGAACCTGCTTTCATCTGTGAAGAGCACAGGGCGCCAGTGGCGAATTTGCCAATCTTGGTGTTCTCTGGCAAATGCCAAACGTCCTGCACGGTGTAGGGCTGTAAGCACAACCCCCACCTGTGGACGTCGGGCCCTCATACCACCCTCATGGAGTCTGTTTCTGACCGTTTGAGCAGACACATGCACATTTGTGGCCTGCTGGAGGTCATTTTGCAGGGCTCTGGCAGTGCTCCTCCTGCTCCTCCTTGCACAAAGGCGGAGGTAGCGGTCCTGCTGCTGGGTTGTTGCCCTCCTACGGCCTCCTCCACGTCTCCTGATGTACTGGCCTGTCTCCTGGTAGCGCCTCTATGCTCTGGACACTATGCTGACAGACACAGCAAACCTTCTTGCCACAGCTCACATTGATGTGCCATCCTGGATGAGCTGCACTACCTGAGCCACTTGTGTGGGTTGTAGACTCCGTCTCATGCTACCACTAGAGTGAAAGCACCGCCAGCATTCAAAAGTGACCAAAACATCAGCCAGGAAGCATAGGAACTGAGAAGTGGTCTGTGGTCACCACCTGCAGAAACACTTCTTTATTGGGGGTGTCTTGCTAATTGCCTATAATTTCCACCTGTTGTCTATTCCATTTGCACAACAGCATGTGAAATGTATTGTCAATCAGTGTTGCTTCCTAAGTGGACAGTTTGATTTCACAGAAGTGTGATTGACTTGGAGTTACATTGTGTTGTTTAAGTGTTCCCTTTACTTTTTTGAGCAGTGTATATTCTCTTGCTCCCCAGATGGCTGGTAAGTGGTGGGTCGTGGGCCTTGCCACCAACGCCCAGTGGTTTGTGAACCGTAAGGCTGGCATGAAGATGGGCACTTCCATGATGCTGCCCACTGCCGGAGGAGACCTGGACATCAGCTGCACCAAGCAGAAGTGATTTTGTGTGTGTGTGTGTGTGTGTGTGTGTGTGTGTGTGTGTGTGTGTGTGTGTGTGTGTGTGTGTGTGTGTGTGTGTGTGTGTGTGTGTGTGTGTGTGTGTGTGTGTGTGTGTGTGTGTGTGTGTGTGTGTGTGTGTGTGTGTGTGTGTGTGTGTGGGCGTGTGTGTGTGTGTGTGTGTGGGCGTGTGTGTGTGTGTGTGTCCATTTCACTCATAATAATGCTACTCTTTCACTCTTTCTGTCTCAGCGCTGATGGTTCTTGCTGGAAGACAACCCATCTGGCCAAGAAGACTGACATCCCAGGCCGCTTCACCTTCACCAGCCAGCGTGAGTACACACACACACACACACACACACACACACACACACACACACACACACACAGTCAACATAACTACTGTCTCTAACCTCCCTCCTCTCTTTCTCCCCCTCTCAGGTTGGAACAGTGAAAATGACATGCGTGTGGTAGCTGTTCAGTATGATGACTTTGCTCTGATCCACACCATCAAGACCAAAGACGGAGTAACTGACGTGCTCAACAAACTATTCAGTAAGTCTGTCTGGCTGTCTGCATGTCTGAAATTAGTTCAAGACCTTTAGATTCTCATGTTTTTGTGTCATTAATCAAAATTGCACTTTGTTTGGTCTCTGATTTCATTCTGGTCATGTTACAGGTGGGTTGTGCTAACCTGGTTGTGTTCTGTTAACCTGGTAGTGTTATGTTAACCTGTTTGTGTTAACCTGGTTGTGTTAACCTGGTAGTCTTGTGTTAACCTGGTTGTGTTGTGTTAACCCGGTTTTGTTAAACTGCTAGTGTTGTGTTAACCTGCTTGTGTTAACCTGGTTGTGTTGTGTTAACCTGGTTGTGTTAACCTGGTAGTGTTGTGTTAACCTGGTAGTGTTGTGTTAACCTGGTTGTGTTGTGCTAACCTGGTTGTGTTAACTTGGTTGTGTTGTGTTAACCTGGTTGTGTTAACCTGGTAGTGTTGTGTTAACCTGCTTGTGTTAACCTGCTTGTGTTAACCTGGTTTTGGTAACCTGGTAGTGTTGTGTTAACCTGCTTGTGTTAACCTGGTTGTGTTAACCTGGTTTTGGTAACCTGGTAGTGTTGTGTTAACCTGGTTGTGTTGTGCTAACCTGGTTGTGCTAACCAGCTTGTGTTAACCTGGTTGTCTTAACCAGCTTGTGCTAACCTGGTTGTGTTGTGTTAACCTGATTGTGTTAACCTGGTAGTGTTGTGTTAACCTGGTTGTGTTGTGTTAACCTGGTAGTGTTGTGTTAACCTGGTTGTGTTGTGTTAACCTGGTTGTGTTGTGTTAACCTGGTTGTGTTAACCCTGTAATGTTAACCTGGTTGCGTTGTGTTAACCTGGTTGTGTTTTGTTAACCTGGTTGTGTTAACCTGGTTGTGTTGTGTTAACCTGGTTGTGTTGTGTTAACCTGGTAGTGTTGTGTTAACCTGGTTGTGTTAACCTGGTAGTGTTGTGTTAACCTGGTTGTGTTAACCTGGTAGTGTTGTGGTTGTAGGTCGCACTCCAGAGGTGAGCGCAGCTCTGCAGGAGAAGTTCATGCAGTTCTCTCTGGATACAGGAATCCTCTCTGAGAACGTTACTATCCTGCCCAAGAACGGTACGACAATACACACATACACAGATGTACAATATTATTATGGTGATCAGATACATATAAATGTTCTTCACTAGTAGAAATCATCTGCTCACTCTTTTCTCCCTCCTGTCTACTGCAGGTGAATGTACCGAGGCATAAATTTCCGCTCATCCCTTTCTCCGTCTACTCCTCTTCCACTGGCCTCTGTCACCATTTCAAGCACAAACTCTTTTCCTGGAAGAAGACTGAAGACTGCAAACCCCTACCATCCCCTCCCCCAGCAGAACAAACCCCTTCACCTTTAACTCCCCACTGTTCCAATGCGCCACTCTACATTCGTTTTTTTTATGCTGATTGTTCTTGTTGAAATAAAGCATGTTTAAAAAAATACACATGATCCCTACTGTCACATTGAATGGTGTCTTCATATTAAGAGTTAAAAACATACACATGATCCCTACTGTCACATTGGATGGTGTCTTCATATTTAGAGTTAAAAACATACACATGATCCCTACTGCCACATTGGTTGGTGTCACAGGAGGTTGGTGACACTTTAATTAGGGAGGACGGGCTCGTGGTAATGGCTGGAGCCGAATTGGTGGAATGGTATCAAATACATCAAACACATGGTTTGATGCCATTCCATTCGCTCCGTTCCAGCCATTATTATGAGCCGTCCTCCCCTCAGCAGCCTCCACTGGTTGGTATCCACTGGTTGGTACCCCCCCCTCCCCCCCCCCCAAATTGTAAAGTGGTTATCCCACTGGCTATAGGGTGAACGCACCAATTTGTGAGTCGCTCTGGCTAAGAGCGTCTGCTAAATGACGTTAATGTGCCCTTGAGCAAGGCACTTAACCCTAATTGCTCCTGTAAGTCGCTCTGGTTAAGAGCGTCTGCTAAATGACTAAAATGTAAATGTATCTGGTTGTGTTAACCTGGTTGTGATAACCTGGTTGGTGTCTTCATATTTAGAGTGAAGTGTGAGAGGAAACAATGTAAGTAGATGCAGCTATATCAAACACAGATGACTATTGGTGCTTTCAGGACAACTGTGAATTTAGAATATAACGGAGCTCTAGAAAGAGGAATTCCGCGTTGGATGACCATTCTAAACGATTCTTCCCAGTCGGAGCTCGTTTTTTTCCGAGGTCCCAAATGTCTTGAACGCACTGAAGTCAGAAGTCAGAGATTTCTGAGTTCCCAGTTCCCAATTGTCGTGAACGCTGCATATGAGAGGGAAGGAGGGATTCTCTTGGGTTGAGTCATCATTAGAATGACAGGGTGAATGAGGGTGTGTGGTGGCTGGAGAGAGAGAGAGTAAATGTGTAATGTACTCTGCCCTCTACTGGTAGAAGCAGAGAAATACATGAATCAGAAGTAGAAATTATGATCCTATTCCTTCAGTTACAAGAATATATATATATACAGTACCAGTCAAAGATTTGGACACACTTACTCATTCCAGGGTTTTTCTTTATTATTCCTATTTTTTACATTGTAGAATAATAGTGAAGACATCAAAACTATGAAATAACACATATGGAATCATGTAGTAAAACCAAAAAAGTGTTAAACAAATCAAAATATATTTTATATTTGAGATTGTTCAAATAGCCACCCTTTGCCTTGATGACAGCTTTGCACACTCTTGGCATTCTCTCAACCAGCTTCACCTGGAATGCTTTTCCAACAGTCTTGAAGGAGTTCCCACATATGCTGAGCACTTGTTGGCTGCTTTTCCTTCACACTGCGGTCCGACTCATCCCAAACCATTTAATAGGGTTGAGGTCAGGGGATTGTGGAGGCCAGGTCATCTGATGCAGCACTCCATCACTCTCCTTATTGGTAAAATAGCCCTTACACAGCCTGGAGGTGTATTGAGTCATTGTCCTGTTGAAAAACAAATTATAGTCCCACTAAGCCCAAACCAGATGGGATGGTGTATCACTGCAGAATGCTGTAATAAATAAATCACAGACAGTGTCACCAGCAAAGCACTCCCACACCATAACACCTCCTCCTCCATGCTTTACGGTGGGAACTACACATGCAGAGATCATCCGTTCACCCACACCGCGTCTCACAAAGACACGGTGGTTGGAACCAAAAATCTCCAATTTGGACTCCAGACCAATGGACAAATTTCCACCGGTCTAATGTCCATTGCTCGTGTTTCTTGGGCCAAGCAAGTCTCTTCTTCTTATTGGTGTCCTTTAGTAGTGGTTTCTTTGCAGCAATTCGACCATAAAGGCTTGATTCACGCGGTCTCCTCTGAACAGTTGATGTTGAGATGTGTCTGTTACTTGAACTCTGTGAAGCATTTATTTGGGCTGCAATTTCTGAGGCTGGTAACTCTAATGAACTTATCCTCTGCAGCAGAGGTAACTCTGGGTCTTCCATTCCTGTGAGGGTCCTAATGAGAGCTAGTTTCATCATAGTGCTTGGGGGGTTTTGCGACTGCACTTGAAGAAACTTTCAAAGTTCTTGAAATGTTCCATATTGACTGACCTTCATGTCTTAAAGTAATGATGGACTGTTGTTACTCTTTGCTTATTTAAGCTGTTTTCGCCATAATATGGACTTGGTCTTTTACCAAATAGGGCTATCTTCTGCATACCTTGTCACAACACAACTGATTGGCTCAAACGTATTAAGAAGGAAAGAAATTCCACAAATTAACTTTTAAGAAGGCACACCTGTTAATTGAAATGCATTCCAGGTGACTACCTCATGAAGCTTGTTGAGAGAATGCTAAGAGTGTGCAAAGCTGTCATCAAGGCAAAGGGTGGCTATTTGAAGAATCTCAAATATAAAATATATTTTGATTTGTTTAACACTTTTTTGGTTACTACTTGATTCCATATGTGTTATTTCATAGTTTTGATGTCTTCACTATTATTCTACAATGTAAAAGATAGTGACTGGTAGTGTATATATACAGTATATAATGGTCAATGTTTGATATAAACTGGTCACAGCATATATAGTATTTATTTAGAGCTGGCCTAGTTATTTCAGAAAGATGAAGGGAGTAATTAATCAACAAATATGTTTTTATTAACATTCATTTTACAACAGAATAAAACTATATATTATTTTCAGCCAATCAAATTCAATATTATAAAGAAAATAAACAATGCAAGTAAAAATTGAAAAAAAGTACAACATTCTCAAGAAGATTATAGTCATTTATAGGGGGGAAAACTGAAGAAATTTTTTCGTGGCTCATGGATTTAAAAACAACCATAGCTTCAGCTACATTCAAAAATAACAAAATGAATGTGTCTACTTAAAATCCAATGTATTGCTTCCCAGGCTTTGCCTTCCTTCTTCTTAGAGCAATTAATAACTGAGACAAGAAACACAAATAACCTTCGCCAGTATCATCTCTAAGTGTTCTGTTCCACCGTTATAGACAGAGGCTCTAATTGTTCTGTTCCACCGTTATAGACAGAGGTTCTAAGTGTTCTGTTCCACCATTATAGACAGAGGTTCTAAGTGTTCTGTTCCACCATTATAGACAGAGGCTCTAAGTGTTCTGTTCCACCATTATAGACAAAGGCTCTAATTGTTCTGTTCCACCATTATAGACAGAGGTTCTAAGTGTTCTGTTCCACCATTATAGACAGAGGCTCTAAGTGTTCTGTTCCACCATTATAGACAGAGGCTCTAATTGTTCTGTTCCACCGTTATAGACAGAGGTTCTAAGTGTTCTGTTCCACCATTATAGACAGAGGTTCTAAGTGTTCTGTTCCACCATTATAGACAGAGGCTCTAAGTGTTCTGTTCCACCATTATAGACAGAGGCTCTAAGTGTTCTGTTCCACCGTTATAGACAGAGGTTCTAAGTGTTCTGTTCCACCGTTATAGACAGAGGCTCTAAGTGTTCTGTTCCACCGTTATAGACAGAGGTTCTAAGTGTTCTGTTCCACCGTTATAGACAGAGGCTCTAATTGTTCTGTTCCACCGTTATAGACAGAGGCTCTAAGTGTTCTGTTCCACCGTTATAGACAGAGGCTCTAATTGTTCTGTTCCACCATTATAGACAGAGGTTCTAAGTGTTCTGTTCCACCATTATAGACAGAGGCTCTAAGTGTTCTGTTCCACCATTATAGACAGAGGCTCTAAGTGTTCTGTTCCACCATTATAGACAGAGGCTCTAAGTGTTCTGTTCCACCGTTATAGACAGAGGTTCTAAGTGTTCTGTTCCACCGTTATAGACAGAGGCTCTAAGTGTTCTGTTCCACCGTTATAGACAGAGGCTCTAAGTGTTCTGTTCCACCATTATAGACAGAGGTTCTAATTGTTCTGTTCCACCGTTATAGACAGAGGCTCTAATTGTTCTGTTCCACCGTTATAGACAGAGGCTCTAATTGTTCTGTTCCACCGTTATAGACAGAGGTTCTAAGTGTTCTGTTCCACCATTATAGACAGAGGCTCTAATTGTTCTGTTCCACCGTTATAGACAGAGGCTCTAATTGTTCTGTTCCACCGTTATAGACAGAGGCTCTAAGTGTTCTGTTCCACCATTATAGACAGAGGTTCTAAGTGTTCTGTTCCACCATTATAGACAGAGGCTCTAATTGTTCTGTTCCACCGATATAGACAGAGGTTCTAAGTGTTCTGTTCCACCATTATAGACAGAGGCTCTAAGTGTTCTGTTCCACCGTTATAGACAGAGGTTCTAAGTGTTCTGTTCCACCGTTATAGACAGAGGCTCTAATTGTTCTGTTCCACCGATATAGACAGAGGTTCTAAGTGTTCTGTTCCACCATTATAGACAGAGGTTCTAAGTGTTCTGTTCCACCATTATAGACAGAGGTTCTAAGTGTTCTGTTTCACCGATATAGACAGAGGTTCTAAGTGTTCTGTTCCACCATTATAGACAGAGGTTCTAAGTGTTCTGTTCCACCATTATAGACAGAGGTTCTAAGTGTTCTGTTCCACCGTTATAGACAGAGGCTCTAATTGTTCTGTTCCACCGTTATAGACAGAGGTTCTAAGTGTTCTGTTCCACCGTTATAGACAGAGGTTCTAAGTGTTCTGTTCCACCGTTATAGACAGAGGCTCTAAGTGTTCTGTTCCACCATTATAGACAGAGGTTCTAAGTGTTCTGTTCCACCTATACAGAGGCTCTAAGTGTTATGTTCCACCTATACAGAGGCCTTCCCTGGTAATATCCTCAGAGGCTGGAGGGCACATTCATTGAGAAGGTACGGAAAGACTCTCTCAGTGAAAGTGTGTGTAATAGTGTGTAAACATGTGTTATTATCAGGGTCAGAGAATGACAGCGTTCCTCTGTCCCAGTCCAGCTTCACTCTGATCCTCTGGGGTTTCTTTCTCAATGTGAGCTGGATGTCTGGCCTTGGTGGGGACTCTACTTTATATCTAATATCACCACCAACATCATAAGCATAAGCATCACAGTGGCTTACACACCAAAGGCTTAAACACCAGAATCCACTTTCTACTTTTTTCTTCCTCTGGACAGACTCTGCTATCACACCCAGGGCTATGTTGAACCCAACCTCAACGTCCCAGCTGTGTGCACCTGAGTTAAAGCCCTCAGAGCCCAAGACCATGTTATAAAAATTAAACCTCTCTGGGTTGTCAGGAAGCTGCTGTCTCTCTTCATTGTATATGGCACTGGTCAGATCCTCAGACAGGATAAGAATTGGGTTGGCAGTGTTGGGGTCCAGAATCACAGGATCTGAGGAGGGAGAACAGATATAGGGTATTATTTGTGTTATTGTTTATTGATTGATGATTGTTGTTTGTTGTTGTTGTTGATGATGTGCGCTCTCTAATCTCCTAGCTGTGTGTGTGTTTACTGTTTTGCAAAAAGGTGCTTAGCGTTTGCATGTAATGTGAAGATAATGAGAGATGACAAACTGTTGTGTAGAAAAGGTTATTGTTTTGGCTAAGTAGGTAATAGTATTAGTTTCATTACATTTTAGTCATTTAGCAGACGCTCTTATCCAGAGCGACTTACAGTTAGTGAGTACATACATTTTCATACTGGCCCCCCGTGGGAATCGAACCCACAACCCTGGCGTTGCAAGCGCCATGCTCTACCAACTGAGCTACACGGGGCTAGTGATCAGTGTTCAGTGATCTAGAAAAACTGTCATGCTCACTGTATGTCACAATCCCCTGCATCTTCTCCCAGACTCTGAACTGCAGGTTTCCCAGGTGTTTGGCCACGTCTATCAGCGCACCTGAGACCAGGTGTGGATCCGGCAGTGTGCACTGGGTTCTGGAAGAACATTCAGGAGTCAGTACAGCTGTTGCTGTAGGGTTGGGTTCAGAATCACAGAGAAGAGAGAGACAGGAGGCAGATCACTTACCTTACCACTGTGGACTTATAGTTCTGAAAAAACAGAAGACAAGATTAAATTAAACAATCAATCAATATTTATCAGTCAACCAATACACATACCAATAATGTAAACTTAGAGAGAGCAGTCCTGACCTGCAGGAATGAGATGTCTTCAGCTCTCAGCTCCCCCACTAGGGCTCTGATTGTGTCTGAAAGTGATGATATCTCTCTGCTCATCTCCTCAATCTTCTCCTTCATCATCTGACTCTTCTGCTCCTCTTCCTCCCTCAGAACAGCTATCCTCACCTCCTCTTCCTCTCGTAGAAACTGGTGGAGCTTCTCAAACTCCTTTCTAATCAGTCTCTCTGTGCTCTGGGCCCGGCTCTGAGAGGAATGGTAGTAAACTATCCACATTAACACTGGATCATACATACTCTACACAACGCTATTGATTCAACATCCTTACTTTAATATGCTTTGCTGTTTCATCACAGATTTCTTTAACTTCATTAAAGACCTTCAGCTTCTTCTGTAAGGGCTTTAGGACAGTCTGGAGTTCTTCCTGGAATAAGCAGATGTTGAGTGAGTGAGTGAGTGAGAGAGAGTGTGTGAGAGAGAGAAATAGATAAATAGATTGTATCTTTGCTTTTTCACTGAGGAGTCAAAGTGTATAAATCAAGGGGAATTGATAGGAACGTCCTTTTCCATGTTAAAATGTGACGTGAATACAGGTTAGAATGCTGTGCTACTGTTGTTCTTAATTATCACTTAATGTGCAGACAATGGCTGCTGTTTAATATTGCTGTCTTTTTAGTTTCCTACACAGCAGAGCTATCTACATTTAAATTAATATATTTTTCTTATCAATGTAACCAATCTGTGTGTACCTATTATTATTTTTGTTCTACTGTACCCTGTGGTCCTGTGCAGCTTCGTCTATGGGGCAGCAGTCATGGTTTTTGTGTTTTCTGGAGGCCTGGCACACCACACAGATGGGCTGTTTATCCTCCAGACAGAAGAGCTTGAGTGTCTCGTTGTGCAGATTGCAGCGCTCCTCAGACTCCCCTGAATCTCTCCGACTCCTCTCCTGTAAGAATGCCTCACACAGGTTCTTTAAGACCAGGTTACAGGGAGGATCTGCCCTTGAAGATCTTCTCCTGCAAACTGGACATTCCTTTCCTGCCTTCCCCCTGCAGTATTCCTGCAGACAGGCTTTACAGAAGCTGTGACTACATGACAGGATGACCGGATCCTTGAAGACGTCACAGCACACAGCACAGGATAGATCGTCCTCTGGGAGAGAGAATCTGGAAGCCATTCTGTCCTCGTGACAATCCCTCCTATGGAATGACCGAACCTTGTACAAAAGTTAACTTTCACTTTTGATTCTGATTGTTAAAAACGTAGTGTGATTAAGCAGCAGCTTGAGGTCCCTGTTTTTAGTATGTATTTATTTAGGTAGTTGTAAAGGCAGTTTCTCTCCTCTCAGTGTTTTCTGTGTTCAGTCTGGTTTCTCAGAGTAGGCAGTTTAGAGAACGGATGAGAGATGAACGTCAACCATTGATGTTAACACACTAAACTTCTGACAGGGAAGTCAAGTAGGAGGTGGAGCTTTGAGAGACCAGGAAAACAAGACCACGTGATGAGTAGGGCCATAGTCCCTTTAACGCCCTGTACACACAGTTCACAAAAATAAATCATAATTTCGCCAATGAATTACAATCTCAAACAGACACACGCCATGATTAAGCCCCACTCATGTATTGTGTCCCGTGTGCCACGAGCGCTACCACAAATCTTCTGTAGGTTACATGGTATACCAAAGACACCTCACTATTGGAGGAGAGGAGGGATTCTATTTGGTTGAGTTGTGTCGTCATTAGAATGACAGGGTGATTGTATGCTGTAGTCTGTCCTCCACTGGCGGGTGTACAGACATTTCAAAGTAAACCTCAGAAGCATTCCAGAGGAAGGTTTTATTCACATTTGTTACTTTATAAACATAGAAAGCCTGAATGATGATGGGGGTAAAGAAGAGCAGTACAATGTTCTGTAGCCATGCAGTACATGAGAACAACAACCATTTGTACAGTTCATTGTGATACTCACTAAACACAGAAGGATGGATGTAAAACTTGTGTAACCTACTTAACAATTGGTTTTTTTTACTAAATGAAACTAACATGATATCTATTTGATACAAAATGTAAAATAATGCAGTGTGACACTGAAACATCGTAGACAATGATCCCAGTGCTGGACTTAGACAATGTGTGATCCCAGTGCTGGACTTAGACAATGTGTGATCCCAGTGCTGGACTTAGACAATGTGTGATCCCAGTGCTGGACTTAGACAATGTGTGATCCCAGTGCTGGACTTAGACAATGTGTGATCCCAGTGCTGGACAGACAATGTGTGATTCCAGTGCTGGACTTAGACAATGTGTGATCCCAGTGCTGGACTTAGACAATGTGTGATCCCAGTGCTGGACTTAGACAATGTGTGATCCCAGTGCTGGACTTAGACAATGTGTGATCCCAGTGCTGGACAGACAATGTGTGATCCCAGTGCTGGACAGACAATGTGTGATTCCAGTGCTGGACTTAGACAATGTGTGATCCCAGTGCTGGACTTAGACAATGTGTGATCCCAGTGCTGGACAGACAATGTGTGATCCCAGTGCTGGACTTAGACAATCTGTGATCCCAGTGCTGGACTTAGACATACAGGCAACAACCATCATTCACATGATGATGATGCGTCTGCACTTTAATGATAACTTAAGCTTTCTGTCTCTCTGTGGCTCAGTCTTCATCCCAACACCACTGGTGATGTCTCAAACATATATTTCTTCATCTGAAACAATATATAAAGAATATATATGAACAGATCCACTATATTATCATCACATCCAATAGCCTGACAATATCTCCCACTCAGTGTGTGTGTCTCACCTGTCTCTGCCTCCTCCTGGCCTGCATTTCCTGCTGCTGCTTTAGCCGCACCTCCTCCAGACTCAGACACCCACCTGCACACACATACACACACACACACACACACACACACACACACACACACACACACACACACACACACACACACACACACACACACACACACACACACACACACACACACATACACACATACACACACACACACACACACACTATTTTACCGAATCCACCTGTCTCATTTAAGCTATTACAAATAGTTGTACCATGGTGCACCCTTGTGGCTATAAACAGAACTACAGAAAATACATCTACTGACAGAGACACAGTAATGTCTTCAGACAGTGCTCCACCAAGGGAGAGTATGCTAGTTGCTGTGAAGCATGTTGGAGCATGTCAAACTACTCCCATTAGACTCATTAATAACCAGACATTTAACTCTTCAATGACTCACCTTGTTTATCACCGCATCTATGTGCTTGGAGATGTTTTGTTGTGTGTGTGTGTGTGTGTGTGTGCGTGTGTGTGTGTGTGTGTGTGTGTGTGTGTGTGTGTGTGTGTGTGTGTGTGTGTGTGTGTGTGTGTGTGTGTGTGTGTGTGTGTGTGTGTGCGTGTGTCACCTAGCTACAGATTGTAACACCAGATAATGTGATAACTCCCCCAAATTGGACCATTATACTGGTAGTTACAGGTGTGGCTATACAAAATGTAACCAGAGATTTTTCAACTAACCTGGTATTGGCAATAATATCTTCAACCTTGATTCGTGAAAACAGGCAGTGGTGGAAAAAGTACCAAATTGTCATACTTGAGTAAAAGTAAAGATACCTTCATAGAAAATGACTAGAGTAAAAGTGAAAGTCACCCAGTAAAATCCTACACTAAAAGTATTTGGTTTTAAATATACTTAAGTATCAAAAGTAAAAGTATAAATCATTTCAAATTCCTTATATTAAGCAAACCAGAAGACACCATTTTCTTGTTTTTTTATTTATTTACGGATACCCAGGGCTGTCTCCAACACTCAGACATCATTTACAAATGAAGCATGTGTTTAGTGAGTCCACTAGATCAGAGGTAATAGATGACCAATGATAGATGAAATAGATGAAATAGATGAAATGTATGGAGTTAAAAGTACATTATTTTATTCAGGAATGTAGTGAAGTAAAAGTAAAAGTTGTCAATAATATAAATAGTAAAGTAAAGTGCAGATACCCCCAAAAAACTACTTAAGTAGTACTTTAAAGTATTTTTACTTAAGTACATTACACCACTGGAAACAGGAGTCTCATAAAATGTCTGTGTCCAGTTGCAGGGGATCTGTTTGAATTTAGAAAATGCTCCATTATTAAAATAAATCAATTTTTTGCTCCATGAAGTAATCTAACAATGTGTACGCCGCCATCTTCTCTATTTCAAGTCTTCTCTCATTGATCGAGACAGGTGTCTGTCATCGTGGACCCACCTGTCTCAATCAATGAGAGAAGATTTGAAAGATACATTTACATTTTAGTAGATGCTGTTGTCCAGAGTGACTTACAGGAGCAATTAGAATTAAGCATCATGCTCAAGGGCACGTGGACAGATTTTCCCCCTAGTCGGCTCGGGGATTTGAAACAGCGACCTTTGTGTTACTAGCTCAACACTCTTAACCGCTAGGCTAACTGCCACCCCAGTGGTGGTGTACACATTGTTGGATTACTTCATGGAGCAAAACATTGATTTCTTTCAATAACAGACCATTTTCTAAATTCAAATGGACCCCCTGCAACTAGACACAGACATTTTATGAGACTCCTCTTTCCACTAATCGAGGACGAAGATAGTATCGCCAATACCAGGTTAGTTGAAAAATCTCTGGGGATGTTTTGTATTGCCACAACTGGACATACAAGTATAATGGTTAAATCCCATTATCTGGTGTTATAATGTGTTGTATAATCTGTAGCTATGTCTCACCAACACTGCTGGGGTCAATGGAGACGTAGGGTATGGCTCTGCTCAGCCTCAGATCCTCCAGAGCAGCCAGCTCCGCCTCCGCCTCTGCACACAAATCACAGAGACACCCCCCCCCCAATCAACCAATTAGAGGATGAGTATGATCATGGTGATGAAGAGCACACTCCTCACAGTGTTACAAAACACAGTTAAAGCCAAAGGACTCACTTTGTTGGATCTCTATTCTTTTCTTGGGGTTAGGGGGGATGACCGTGAACGCTTTGTGACTGAAACCGAGAAACAGAAATTAATGAAATAAAATGTAATGTAATGCCAAGGGGACAAGCCAGTCTGGCAGCTTACATCAAATTTGGCAGGCTTTCAGCTATGCTACTCTGAAATTCAAATGCCAAATGTCTAAATGACAGTTTGTAGCATGTAATAAAGGGGCAACAGGATCTGGTGAGGGAACAGAGCTTGACACAACACCTGCGTGCCTGCGGGTGGTAGCTAGGATTATACAACGGGCTCCAGATGGCTTGGAGCTGAAGACGAGCTATTTCCAGCCACCTGTACACAACACACGACACACCTGCATATAATTATACAGATAGGGCTAGAGTATATTGAGGTAGGCTATAGAAGTCCTCTAATAGGGCATGGGTGGCCAACTCTCCTGGAGAGCGACTGGGTGTGCAGGCTTTCATTCCAACATTGCTCTAGAGTAACACAATTGATTCAGCTAATCAAAGGTCCCAGCTGAGAATCCAGTGTGTCAGAGCAGGGCTGGAGCCAGGAGTAGCCTATAAGCACTGAAACCCAGCAACTCTCCAGGACCAGGGTTGACTACCCATAGGGCCTTGAGGAGGAAAAGTACTTCTGCTGTCCCTCTCACCTCTGAATGGCATAGTGTGCCCTGGGTCTCGACGTGCGTTCTTCTTTCTGCGCCACCTGAGCTGCTTCTTTAGACTTTGAAGAAGTTACAGTTGATTTTGGAGATGTGGCTGTTGGTTTTTGACAGAGCACAGCTGATTTCGAAGAGGAGAGTGTTGATTTGGGAGCGGTGGAGGTTGACCTCGCTCTCCTATCGCACCTGGGGGCGCACAACTTGCCCTGCTGATGGGTGTTCGTGGTCTCGCATCGGTTACTATGGATACATCGCGGACAGCTCGTCGCCCGCGGTTTGCGAGGAGCTGTGACTTTGAGTTGAGATATCGATGCTGGTTTTGTTTCAACCGGTTTTGTTTTCTCTTCGACGACTCTTGTTTTCGTTTCAATAACAGGCTTTTGCTTGATGACCCTTGTGGTCGGCATTTTATCAAGAAAACAAAAATATAGGCTAGGTCAAGGGCTCCAAATAAATTCCTTATTCCGCACCTCACCTCACCTCGTCAATGATAGTTGAATCGGTTGTGTCATCGTTCTACTATTGTCTTATCAAATCTTTAAATTAGTAGGCTATTAGCCTATGAGGTGCTGGATGCTGTGGAACTCACGTCTGGCTTGTCTGCCTTCAGCTGGCGACCGGTTGTTGACCGTGGAATCCCGTGCAGCGCGCAGCCTGCCAGGGCAAATTAAGTTCAATAGGTTTTACAGTGATCCGATTACTGACTGGTTAGAATCCCCTAAGGATGCTTGACCTTGTAGTGAGCAAAGCCGCGGGAAGTAGGGGTGCTAAAAAAAAACAGAATTAAAAAATGTATATTATTTTTTTGGGGGAAAATAATGTATTTATTGAAAGTAGTGCACTGGGCCTTCACTGGTATTAAATATAGACATCTGTAGCATGGGCCCATAATTTTTTTCAGCATCTCTGCTTTGGCAAAAAAAGGTAGTTGTATAATTAAGAACAGTATCTTGCAGGATTCAATAGTTGGAATTGTAAGAGTTGTTGCCCTGTCCCTTTCTCTGCGATTGTCATTCTAATGGAATCCAGAAAGAACTAAACCCTGTCCTCAAACATTTACATCAAAAGTTGCAAAGTTATGGGCAAAGACACAAAACATCCACATCAAATTAAATATTTTTCTTGATCATATAACCTGGAAAACAACCACTTTTTGTGTAGTATTAATTTACCATCCTTGCAAACCACAATGTAAATGTACATTACTGTATTGTACATAGGCTGGTCATCTAGGTTTGTACCTGTAGACTTTCCATCACCATGAAGAAAAACAATGCACAATACAGTAATTGAGTACATCGAGACATTAAATGGTTTGTGATGATTTGGCTCAGTTGGTGGAGTATGGAGTTTGCAATAGCTAGGGTTGTGGGTTGGATTCCCACAGGGGACCAGTACGAAAAAGTATGAAAATGTATGCACTCACTACTGTAAATTACTCTGGATAAGAGCGTCTACTAAAATGGAAAAGGAATGAATAGACCATTTCAGTTTCCACATAGAAATAAGTTGCATTTGCAAAGTATTTTTATATTCCACAAGTATTATCAGATTAACTATTTTGTACAGATAATTATCAGACTCAAGTTACAAATGCTATTAAACGCTCAAATACATTTAGTTTAAATGTTTTCACAAAAGTAGTGCACTGGGCCTTTACTAGTCCTGTATTAACGGGCCAATATAGATGTCTTTAGAGTGGGCAAAAAAATAATCTGCACCCCCCCTTGGCAAAAGGATCGCAGCACCCCCAAACTACTTCCCGCGGCTATGGTAGTGAGATTAAGACACAAGACACTTTTGTTCAGGAAAAATAAGAAATGTGTAGTCACCAAAAACTCATAAGAAATAACAGGAGATCTTTTAAATAATGGGTAGCCTATGACTTATGCATCACACATACACACACACACACACACACACACACAACAGGGGCGTCATGCACCCATTATTTTAGAGGGGGCACAAAGTGCGTGAGGTTGGCGGGGGTTAGAGAATTCTAATATTACATTTGTCATTTTTGTTAGTTTTTGTTCCACTCCAGATACATATGAACAACAACTTACAGAAGCACACAAACAATGACTACATCTCATCCCTGCCCAGACCTGCTTGTTCACCCCTCCATCCCTACTGCCTGCATTATTGTTTGCCACTTAGCCTTAAATTGTACCAATTTGTTTTTCACGGTTGCCAATGCTATTTCAATATTTCTATAATAAATCATTAAATTTTTCCATTGTGTTAAGGATGGCGGATTGATTGATTTCCATGTTTTTAGTATGCATTTTTTCAAGATGAGTGATGAGAAGAGAATCGTCCAGCCCATAAGTTTACATTGTAATACTTCTGACTGCCAACTTTCTAGCTCCGCCCATAATTTTTGGACTTTATAGCATTCCCAGAAAGCATGGATTATTGAATCATTATTAGTTTTACACATAAGACATGACTCTGCCTTTGTGCTGTAACATTTGTGAATTTTGTCTCTTGTATAATCAATTCTAGACATTTGTTTATACTGGATTAAGCATACATTTTCGTTAACTGTAATTTTGTTAGTAAAGCTCCAACTTCCCTCCATCTTGTGTCAGCATCAGTTATTTTTAAGTCTTGGTTACAAAAGTTTATATTTATTGTCAGTTGGGTATGCTTTCAGCAAGGTTTTGTACAGTGCATTTGGAAAGTATTCCGAACCCTTGACTTTTCCCAAATTTTGTTACATTACAGCCTTTTCTAAAATGGATTAAATAATTTTTTCCCCCTCATCAATCTACACACAATACCCCATAACGACAAAGCGAAAACAGGTTTTTAGAAATGTTTGCTAATTTATACAAAATAAAATACAGAAATATCTCATTTACATAAGTATTCAGACCCTTTGCTGTGATACTCGAAATTGAGCTCAGGTGCATCCTGTTTCCATTGATCATCCTTGAGATATTTCTACAACTTGATTGGAGCCCACCTGTGGTAAATTCAATTGATTCAATTGACAGTGCATGTCAGAGCAAAAACCAAGCCATGAGGTTGAAGGAATTGTCCGTAGTGCTCTGAGACAAGATTGTGTTGAGGCACAGATCTTGGGAAGGGTACCGAAACATTTCTGCAGCATTGAAGGTCCCCAAGAACACAGTGGCCTCCATCATTCTTAAATGGAAGATGTTTGGAACCACCAAGACACTTCCTAGAGTTGGTCACACGGCCAAACTGAGCAATCGGGGGAGAAGGGCCTTGGTCAGGGAGGTGACCAAGAACCCGATGGTCACTCTGAAAAATCTCCAGAGTTCCTCTGTGGAGATGGGAGAACCTTCCAGAAGGACAACCATCACTGCAGCACTCCACCAATCAGGCATTTATGGTAGAGTGGCCAGATGGAAGCCACTCCTCAGTAAAAGGCATATGACAGCCCGCTTGGAGTTTGCTACATTTACATTTTAGTCATTTAGCAGACGCTCTTATCCAGAGCGACTTACAGTTAGTGAAAACATACATAATTTGTTTTATACTGGCCCCCCGTGGGAATCAAACCCACAACCCTGGCGTTGCAAACGCCATGCTCTATCAACTGAGCTACATCCCTGCCGGCCATTCCCTCCCCTACCCTGGATGACGCTGGGCCAATTGTGCGCCGCCCATGAGTCTCCCGGTCGCGGCCGGCTGCGACAGAGCCTGGATTAGAACCAGGATCTCTAGTGGCACAATTAGCACTGCGATGCAGTGCCTTAGAGCACTGCGCCACTCAGGAGTAAAAGGCATCTGAAGGACTCTCAGACCATGAGAAACAAGATTCTCTGGTCTGATGAAACCAAGATTGAACTCTTTGGCCTGAATGCCAAGCGTCACGTCTGGAGGAAACCTGGCACCATCCCTACGGTGAAGCATGGTGGTGGCAACATCATGCTGTGGGGATGTTTTTCAGCGGAATCCAAATACAGTTGTGCCAACCTTGTAGTGTCACACCCAAGAAGACTTGAGGCTGTAATCGCTGCCAACGGTGCTTTAACAAAGTACTGAGTAAAGGGTCCGAATACTTACGTAAATGTGATATTTCCGTTTTTGATTTTTAATAAATTTGCACACAAAAAAAACGGTTTTTGCTTTGTCATTATAGGGTATTGTGTGTAGATTGATGAGAAAAAGAAACAACTTAATCCATTTTAGAATAAGGCTGTAACGTAACAAAATGTTGAAAAAGTCAAGGGGTCTGAATACACTCCGAATGCACTGTATATTTTTCAGTTTATTTAGTAAATGTTTGCTTTTCTAAAGTCTAGCAACCTTGCCAGTTGTACAGAGAAACAACAAAACGTTTTCGTATTATTTATTCATCAAGAAGGAATCAATAGGCTACATAGCTTGATTAAATTAATTTACAAACATACCTCCTGCCCATCAAATGCTGTGTATGTCACTCTACACTCTCCCTCCTCCACTGACAATACTGCATGCACTGGAGTATCTAGTGTCGTAGGCATCTCCTTGGCTGCGGCTTTTGTGGAGCGATAGGTAACGATGCTTTGTGGAAAGGCAGTTGTTGATGTGGGCTGAGGGTCCCTGGTTCGAGCTTAGGTTGGGGCAAGGAGAGGGACAGAAGTAATACTGTTACATTGATGCTGATGACCCAGATCAGTCAGTTGGGCTCTGCCCAGATGCTGGGGTTACTGCGGAGAAGGAGGAGGTCAAAGGAGGGTGAGTGTAACTGGTCTGAAATGGCTGGCTAGCTAGTTAGCGGTGCGCGCTAGTAGCGTTTCAATCGGTGATCACTCGCTCTGAGACATGGAAGTAGTTGTTTCCCTTGTTCTGCGATGCTTCATGGGTGACTGTTGTCGATGTGTTCAGAGGGTCTCTGGTTTGAGTCCAGGTTGGGGCCTCTATGGGCAAGATGCCACTGCACACACACAGTTAATTTGTTTGCGGTCCTCCTGCACTGTGCGTGGTGCTGTCTCGCCTTTCTTTCTGCTCTACGTGCTCTGTGAGCGTCACAGCTCTACGCTACTGTACTCTCTCTCCATTCCTCCCATCTGGCGGACTGACTGGCCCATCGCACCCGACTCTCTGGCCTCCCTGAGCGGTCTGCCTCCACACAGACCCCCGGCAGGTATGGCGGTGTGGGTGGGGGTGGTAAGGGGAGCACAGATGGGACAATTTACGAATCATTGGGGTGATTATATTAACCATAAACTCACATTTAGCTACTCTGAAATATTCGTAGCATATATTTCACACTTGTTGTTGAAACATCCGCGTCTGACTAGGATTGTGTTTACCTGCCACTTTCATTTTGTGGAAGGTTTATCACAAGCGATGCAAAGTCATAAATATTATTTTATCGGGGCTGATGTTGTGACGTGCTGCTGTTGAATACACATTCTGTGTTCTCTCAAATCCAGGAAGTGGAGCGTGCAATGTGTCTCAACGAACGCCCCTTTTAGCCTACTGACTGTCATTTGTAATGTCCAGAAACGCAGTTCAGCCTTCCTTCACTGACATTGACAGAAGGAGTAGCCTATAGATAAACAAACGTGCGTTTCCTCTTTGCTTATGGATAGAGAGTATAGGCTCGGCTGCATGCGTCACAACTGGTTTGGGGTAGGCCTACTTATGTAGGCTACTCTTTCTTGGTGGTTTTGATAGAACATTCCATGACAGCCACATGTTTTAATAGGTTGGGATTTTCTTGGCAGGATATTTGTTGACAAAGTAGCCTAAGCATCGTCATCATAAACATGATAATTAAAGGCAAGACACTAGTCACCAGCGCAGCCCCAGAGGCACTGAGTCTAGACCCAGATGTTGCATCTGGCACATGTGGGTGGCACCTGCTGAGGCAATGATTATCCCCGTATATTTCCATTATAAATTAAGTAATATGCTGAGTGGGCCTATAAAAGTAGGTCAAATTGTTTACCATTACTTTGTTACAAACTTGAAGTGCATAGGTCTAAACGGTTTTGTGGGAAGATTTGGGAAACATTCATTACATTACATTTACATTACATTTACGTCATTTAGCAGACGCTCTTATCCAGAGCGACTTACAAATTGGTGCATTCACCTTACAGCCAGTTTTTTTGTTGTTGTTGTGGGGGTGTTGTAAGGGGGGGTAGAATGATTACTTTATCCTATCCCAGGTATTCCTTAAAGAGGTGGGGTTTCAAGTGTCTTCGGAAGGTGGAGTGACATTCCTGATTTGACCAAAGGTGGGGGGGTTTCTGTAGCCGCAGCTGAAATCATTAACTACAATGTAAAACAGAGACGGAGGTCTGATGCTGTGTGTGTGTCCTCCTGCAGCGTGCTGAATCCTAGAGGGATGGAGACAGACCCGGCCTTGGAGATATGCACAGAGAGCAGAGCAGAGACAGAGGGAGAGAGAACGGAGACCAGAGAGGGACCCACCAGGAGCCCCAGCCCCCTGTCCCCCAATAGGTCTTCAGCTGCTCACACCCCTACAACACTCACCCCTTCTCCCCCTAAACGTAATCCCTCCCACCCTCCTAAACTCACCCCCACTCCCTCTACTAGTACGCTCACCCTCAGCTCTACATGCACACCCTCTTCCTCATCTACACCCACCCCCAATCCCCATAAACTGAACCCCGACCCCTCACCTCCCCCTACTCTCACCCGTAAAACCCACACTACCCTCACCCCTATGGTACTCACCCCCACCCCCACCCCAACATCTACACCTACTTCCCCCTCACTCACTCCCAACCCCGTCACCCCTACAATACTCATCCCCAACCCTACTCCCCCCCACACTCACACCCTCTCTACCTACACCCAAGCATGCCCCCTCTCCCTCCTCCCCCACTAAAGTCATTCACAAACCTGCTCCTTTCCCCTTTACTCCCCCTCTACTCACTCCCTCCCCCACTGTATCGGCCATCACTTCTCTGCCCCCCTCCTCTGTAACCCACGGCAACATGTCTTCTGCTCCCGGGACTTCCTCCTTCTTGACCAATGGTAATGCAAGGCCAGTCTCCACGCCCACCTCTCCACCAATCACGCCTTTCCATACCCCGGCCAGCAGACAGGTAACTGACCATAAAACAAAAGCCGCACACGATGTAACCAGCCACACATACAGGCACAAGTAGACACACATACACACACAATTGACTACACAGACAACCACATCCATTCCTGGATCAATTGGTTTACATTCCTTTAACCTAGAGTACAGTATTCAAAATACCTCCAAAATACACCTCTCTCTCGCTGTCTCTCTCAGATCCCTTTCCCTCGCCCCCTGGCTACACCCACTCTGGTGCAAGCCTATCAGAGCACCTCGTCTGTCAGACAGAGGGTATCCCAGCAGGCTTTGCTCCTAGGTCGAAGTTCTTGTTCCAGCCGAGACCAGATGCTGCTCAGGACCCAGATGGTAACAACACACACACCAACACCTCTCACCCCTACTTCTACCAACTTCAAACTCCTGAACCCTGAGACTGGCCTTTTTCAAGATTCCTCAGTTCAAGATTCCGCTCCCCCCCCCTCTCTCTCTCTCTCTCTCGCTCTCTCGCTCGCTCTCTCGTTGTATCTATTGATCTCTCATTCTTAGCTGATTTTCACCTCTACGGTACGGCCTGTCCCTTCCTCTTCCTCTTCCTCCTCTTCCTCTTGCTCTCGCCCTGCCTCTGCTCAGGTGAGCAGTTCAGAAGGTGTGTGTTAGGGGTGTTAGGTGTATGAGAGACCACTGAAGATTGTGATTGTCTCACAAGTTTAACTAAACTCCCTCTCAACCCCCACTCTCTCCCTCCCTCTTTATTTTCCTCCCCACTCCCTCCCACCCTCCCTCCCACCCTCTCTCCCTCCCACCCTCCCTCCCACCCTCTCTCCCTCCCTCCCTCCCATCCTCCCTCCCTCCCCCTTAGCTCCAGAGTCTAACCCTGCGCCCCTCTGCTCCTGGAACTCTCACAATCCCCCCTTCTTTACGTCTCAAACCTCCCTCTTCCTCCTCCTCCCCCTCACCTATCTCTTGTCCCCGAACACCCCTTTTTCCCCCTCTCCGGCCACGCCCCCAGCCCAGTGCCATGGCAACAGACAGACAGACCACACCCACCCGGCACCTCTCAGTCCCACCTCCAAGTGAGTCATAAACATGTGATAATGAGTAGAATGTTCAGGAGGAATGAGATGTGATTTATAGTATGTCCAGTAAAACCATTCAATCACTCTCTCTTTTCTTACTGTCTCTTTGTCTCATCTCTCCAGCTCTCTACTCTTCTGTACGTTCTGTCCCTCTGAGACCCAGACTTCATTCTCCAAATGGCCACAGAGTGGCGCCCCCGAGACACAGCCCGGCCCTGCAACCAATCGCTGTTGCCACTGCCCGACAGGCCCTGCCCAGCAGACAGTGGACTCGACCAGCCAGCAGTTTGTCATCTCAAACCCCACCCATACAGACCACCCCAGCTCAATCGCAGGTCAGCTCAGGCTCTAGGCCCCTCCCCTTGGGTTCTACTTCCTGTTTTGATCAGTTGCCGCCGGCATCAAGGCAGCTGCAAATCATTGCCCTCTCCGCTGGCTCCACCCACCGCCTCAGCAGCCAACTACAGCCTGCTGCCAACACACACACCCCAGCTTCTGTCCAATCAAAGCACCTGGTTCTTGAGTCCCCACCGCCTCAGCTCGATGCCCAACCACAGAGGACTTCTGACCACGCCTCTCCCTCTCCCACCTCCTCCATCCACAAACCCAACTCACCCCTACCCTACCCTCGTTATCAGGCCAGACACATTGAGCCAGAAGGAGAAGTGGGGAGACAGGGGGTAAGGGAGGAGAGAGAGAGGGTGGGGGGAGAGGAAGAGGAGCAGAGGGATAGAGAGAGGGTGGGAGGAGAGGAAAGGGGGATTGTGGAGAAGAGAGGAGAACGGGTGAGAGAGAAAGAGGACCAAAGAGATAGAGAGAGGGTGGAAGAGGAGAAAGGTGGGACTGGAGGAGAGGAAAAATGGATGGAGAGAGTTAAAGTATTTGAGACACTGAGAGAGATGACAGAAGTAGAGGAGGGGGAGGAGAGAGAGAGGATGGAAGTAGAGGAGGGGGAGGAGAGAGAGAGGATGGAGGTAGAGGAGGGGGAGGGGGAGGAGAGAGAGAGGATGGAGGTAGAGGAGGGGGAGCGAGGACAGAAAGATGCGATGAAAGGAGAGGAGGAGGGGACTACAATTGACCAGGCCAGTCTGATAGACCCACACCTCAATGCAGACCCGGCTACTCAGAACTACACACACCCTCCCTCAGAACCCCCCATAAACCTCCAGAGACCATCAGACCGTCCCATTGAGCAATCCCCACACCTCCCCCACGTGGACCAAGAGGACCTCTGTGAGAACATGTTCAATCAGTCTGACAACCAATCAGGTACCAGCGTCTCTCCACCATTACTTTTAGCCTTGGCCTATTAATTAAACTTTAAACTAACCTTGTGTTGTGAACTCTTCCTCCTCTCTCCCCCCTCCTCTCCCTCCTCACAGAACTATCAGCGAGAGAAACCAGACCGATTTCCAGGAATCATCATCATAGACACGCGCCTCTCCCTCCCTCTCCCCCCCCCACCTCATCTCCCACCCCCCCCTCCTCTCCCACTTCTCTTTTCCTCCCCCCAGTCTTGTCCAGTCTCTCCTCTCAGTCTCCCCCTGCCTCACCCTTCCTCACCCTTTCATCTGACCTCCCCCCTCCTCTCCTGCCTGTTAGCCCTTCCCACCCAGAGACCCTCAGCCTATCAGAGAGCCGCCCAGAGACCTTCACCCTATCGGAGCGCAAGCCTTGGTCACAGAGGGTCTGGCCAGAGGGCGGGAGGCGTGTCTTAACTCACCTGGTGGAGGGCTTCATCATACAGGAGGGGCTGCAGGCATTCCCGGTAAACACACACACACGCACACATTTTTTTGTAAAGTACATCTTCCTACACGGGATATAGCTGGTGTCTAGTTGGTGTCATATACTTATACATTAACAGTATATACAGTATAACCTTTGTGTGTGCGTGCCTGTGTGTGTGTGTACCTGTGCAGGTGAACCGCTCGTCTCTGTTGTTGGGAGGGCAGGAGGGTGTCTCCCAGAATGGGAAAATAGAGGGGGCGGAGTTATTACCGTTGACAGACACACCAGAGCCACCGGAACATTCCAGCGAATCAGAACAAGAGCGTGTGGCTAAAGATGACCCGCTCACAGGTAAACCACCTTAATATCCTGGTTCTGAGTCAATATTCAATTCAATATTCAATTCAATTTAATTATCTCTCTGAATCCAAACCACACTAGGTCCCAGAGAGAGACAGAGGGGGGTGTTACAGTGTGAGTCTTGTGGGAAGAGAGGCCACGCCCACTCCTTCTACCGCTCCAAGCGATACTGCTCCACTTCCTGTGCCCGCAGGTAAGCCACACTCCCATTGGCTGAATACAGAAACAAGACAGTGACAGATTAGTTATTCTCTCTGTCTAGACCAGCGTTTCTCAAACTAGGGGTTGCGACCCAATATGGGGTTGCCTGATTTGAAAATGGGGTAGTGAGAGAAACTCAAAAAATATATATATATATTTTTTAGCATTTGGTTCATAGAATCAGGGTAACGTCAGTAACCTCCGGTAGCCGCTAGATGCGGTTGTAATAAACAGAGCGATTTCTGTTATCTTCCTACAAATGTAGCTTCAAAATATTATGACCCCATCACTAGAAGATAAGACTCAGGAACACGTATGTGTCTTCTGTTTCCCTCTACAATGCCCACAAGCCGCACAGGACTCATTAGGACTGAGTGGAAAGACCAGGCACTACATCAGACTGGGGGGGAAAGAACATCATCAATGAAGATGTTCTTTTCTACACAGAAGAGCATACAAGATGATTGCCTGATGATCTTCTGAACTTCCCAATACCTTTCTGATTCTGATTTCAAACCATACTTCCTTCAGATTGAAAAACTTTCAAAAGTACTGTCAGACTGATTTGTAATAGACTGTCATAGCCCCAATTAAAAAAGTAAACATTGGCCGTTGATTACATAAATTTTTTTACATGGTGTGGTCGCAAAAACAATGTATATCAAAATGGGGTCACGGGCCAAAAACGTTTGGGAACCCCTGGTCTACATTTACATTTACATTTACGTCATTTAGCAGACGCTCTTATCCAGAGCCACTTACAAATAGGTGCATTCACCTTATAGCCAGTGGGATAACCACTTTACAATGTTTTTTTAAAATTATTTTTTGTAATTTTTTTTTGGGGGGGGGGGGGGTAGAAGGATTACTTTATCCTATCCCAGGTATTCCTTAGACAGCAAGTTCTATGTGATGTTGTTGTTTAACCACAGATAGTCTATTTACTACAGGTGTACTGTACAGACATTCATAAACACACCAAAATACACCCTCACGCAGAAGCTGTGATCAGACAGGAGGTCAGATGTGATAAATCAACCCCAGAGAGCTCAGAGAAAGGACATATCATCATCATCTTTCTCTCTGTCTTTCTCCCTCTAGGTATGATGTAGGGCTGTCCAAGCGTCTGCGTGCTCTGAGTGCTGGCAGCCAGCCTGAGGGGCGGCGCTCTGAGATAAACAAGGTGGAGTCTGTGCCTGGGAAGCCTCTCCTACTGCGACTGGTCAGTTACAACTTTTAACAAATAGGTCACTCCACAGTAATACACTTTATGGTATAGCCTGCAGGTATAATGCCTTATAACATGTTATAAGCATGTAGAAGCCTTTATAAATCAAACCCAGCTGTTCACACGTTCCATCTCCTGTAACATAATTTATTTTAGCCCCGTGAAATATGGAGCGCCCGTAGCCATGACAACGAAGAAGAGGAGGGGCATGCTGTTCCCATGATGACCAGGCTGACACGCCGAGCGGCACGGAGGGCAAGGAGGGCCTCAGAGCCAGCGATGACCCCTAGTAACCCCACTGTGACCTCTAGTGACCCCACACCTGCACAGTGGAGCGTAGAGCAAGTCTGGGAATTCATACACACACTGCCAGGTAACACACACAAACACACACAAGGACACACATTCACCCATCTCCCTGCTGTAGGTTGTTGGCCGGTTATAACCTGTGTGTATGTTGTCTTTAGGTTTTGGGGAGGTTATAACCTGAGTGTATGTTGTTTTAAGGTTGTGGGGGGGTTATAACCTGGGTGTATGTTGTCTTTAGGTTGTGGGGAGGTTATAACCAGGGTGTATGTTGTTTTAAGGTTGCGGGGAGGTTATAACCAGGGTGTATGTTGTCTTTAGGTTGTGGGGAGGTTATAACCTGGGTGTATGTTGTCTCTAGGTTGTGGGGAGGTTATAACCAGGGTGTATGTTGTTTTAAGATTATGGGGAGGTTATAACCTGGGTGTATGTTGTTTTAAGGTTGTGGGGAGGTTATAAACATATTATTAAATATGTTTATTTTGATTTATTGTGTGCTGAATTAGATTGTTTTATACACATATATACTACCGGTCAAAAGTTCTGGAACACCTACTCATTCAAGGTTTTTCTTTATTTTTACTATTTTCTACATTGTAGAATAATAGTGAAGACATCAAAACTATGAAATAACACATACGGAATCATGTAGTAACCATGTGGTCCTCTGTAGCTCAATTGGTAGAGCATGGCGCTTGTAACGCCAGGGTAGTGGGTTCGATCCCCGGGACCACCCATAAAATGTATGCACGCATGACTGTAAGTCGCTTTGGATAAAAGCGTCTACTAAATGGCATATTATTATTATTATTATTAAACAAATCAAAATATATTTTATCTTTGAGATTCTTCAAATAGCCACGCTTTGCTGGAAGACCCAGAGTTACCTCTGCTGCAGATTTCCACTGGTCTAATGTCCATTGCTCGTGTTTCTTGGCCCAAGCAAGTCTCTTCTTCTTATTGGTGACCTTTAGTAGTGGTTTCTTTGCAGCAATGCGACCATGAAGGCCTGATTCACACAGTCTCCTCTGAACAGTTGATGTTGAGATGTGTCTGTTACTTGAACTCTGTGAAGCATTTATTTGGGCTGCAGTTTCTGAGGCTGGTAACTCTAATGAACTTATCCTCTGCAGCAGAGGTAACTGGGTCTTACATTCCTGTGGCGGTCCTCATGAGAGCCAGTTTCATCATAGCGCTTGATGGTTTTTGCGACTGCACTTAAAGAAACTTTCAAAGTTCTTGAAATGTTCCGTATTGACTGACCTTCATGTCTTAAAGTAATGATGGACTGTCGTTTCTCTTTGCTTATTTGAGCTGTTCTTGCCATAATATGGACAACTGATTGCCTCAAACGCATGAAGAAGGAAAGAAATTCCACAAGTTAACTTTTAAGAAGGCACACCTGTTAATTGCAATTCATTCCAGGTGACTACCTCATGAAGCTGGTTGAGAGAATGCCAAGAGTGTGCAAAGCTGTCATCAAAGCAAAGCGTGGCTATTTGAAGAATCTCAAAGATAAAATATATTTTGATTTGTTTAACACTTTTTTTGGTTACTACATGATTCCGTATGTGTTATTTCATAGTTTTGATGTCTTCACTATTATTCTACAATGTAGAAAATAGTAAAAATAAAGAAAAACCTTGAATGAGTAGGTGTTCTAGAACTTTTGACCGGTAGTGTATGTGTATGTTGTTGTATTATTCTGTTTTTATTGTAATGTTTACAGGGCTCTCTTGTCAAATAGATTTTTAATCTCAATGTGACTCCCTGTTTTAAATAAAGGTTTAAAAAAATAAATAAAAAAATAACCTGTGTGTATTTTGTTTTAAGGAGGTTGTGGGGAGGTTATAACCTGGGTGTATGTTATCTTTAGGTTGTGTGGAGGTTGTAACCTGGGTGTGTGTTGTTTTAAGGTTATGGAGAGGTTATAACCTGGGTGTATGTTATCTTTAGGTTGTGTTGAGGTTATAACCTGGGTGTATGTTGTTTTAAGGTTGTGAGGAGGTTATAACCTGGGTGTATGTTGTTTTAAGGTTGTGGGGAGGTTATAGCCTGGGTGTCCTTTAGTAGTGGTTTCTTTGCAGCCCATAGGGCGGTGCACAATTGGCCCAGCGTCGTCCGGGTTTGGCCGGGGTAGGCCGTCATTGTAAATAAGAATTTGTTCTTAACTGACTTGCCTAGTTAAATAAAGGTTAAATAAAAATAAACAATGTTGTTTTAAGGTTGTGTGTAGGTTATAACCTGTGTGTGTATGTTTTCTTTAGGTTGTGTGGAGGTTGCGGAGGCGTTCCGTGTTCAGGAGATAGACGGCCAGGCCCTGCTGCTGCTCACGGAGGACCACCTGATGACCAGCATGAACATCAAACTGGGACCAGCTCTCAAGATCTGTGCCCACATCAACACACTCAGACACAGATAGAGAGTGAGTAGGAGAGGTGGGAGGAGGAGAGATGAGAGAAGGAGGAGAGATGAGAGGAGGTGAGGAGAGATGGAGAGATGGAAAAAAGTGAAAGGGGTGAGGGTGGAAAAAGAGAGGGACAAGAGTGATTGATAGATGGGGAAGAGAGAAGGGATGAGAGAGAGGGTGGAGGAGGAAAAAAGGACAGAGAAGAAGAGAGATAAAGAGATTCATTCAAGAGATGAAGAGCTGAGAGCGATCAGTGAGAGAGCAGGGGGACTTTTTCTATTCTATTGTGTCTGTGTACATATTTTACAATGCAGTCTATTGGGCGTAACTCAAACGATTTAATTATGGATTTGTAATATACAGTATTATGAATTTGTGTATTTGGTTATTATTTTAAAATGTGGTATCACATGTAAACTGTAAAATACTTTCTGATTTTACGAAGTTGATACACAGACATTTTAAATCACTTTGTAGAAAATAATGTCTTAACTAAATCAATTATTATGTTTTTATATAAGATCTCTTCTGAGAAAAAGTTAGATCTTATTTGACTCATAACCATGTCAATTTTGTGAGATGCCATAATGTTTTCCCTTATCCTGCCTCTTCAAACTCTGTAATAAATCCAATTAATTTATGGACATTGTTTTATTGCCTCTGTATTGGTATTGTGATATTTTGTAGTCAATGAAATGACCCATCTCACTATTAACTCCGGCCACCAGATGGAGGTGAGGGGTCACGTTTGCTAGTAGAAAGACTGCAGCTGCAATATTCTCAACTCATATGGAAACAATGATCAAGAAAAATTCTATATGAATTACATAAAAACCAATGCATCATATTTATATTCCTATCACTGATGCTTCTCTGGAGCACAATGTCTTAAGTTCACACATGAAAAACCTTCTAAAGCAGCACAGACCTATTATTGTTGAATCAATCTGTGTTTATGCCAAACCAATCTGGAACCAGTTGCAATTTCAACACTGCTGAAATGTGTTTTTAACCCTTTAACTGTCTCTTCTTGAAAAACATGTTTAAAATGATTTCACCCTAAATTCCTATTACTAACAACTAAAATAATAACTTTTTTTCAACTTGATGTTCATTTTGGAAATAACAGAGCTCTAACAGACGGTTGAGAAGTCAAAAGGAGGTCATACCAGCAATGCCATATTAGAATAGCAATTTGCATAGCATTTTTACTCAGAACAATATTACAAAAATTACTTTAGGTCTGCTTGAATGGCTTTTTATAGGTAGGTCAGCATTGTTAAATAAGGACTGATGTTTAACAAATTATGATAATTTTTTATGTCCAAACATATTCAATTATCCGCTATTTCTATGCTTCCCTTTCTAAAGTTTTGTTTTTGCTTCTTTTACTTTTGGTTTTGTACACCAGCTTCAAAACAGCTGAAAATACAATACCTTTGGTTATGGAAAATATATTTCACAGTGGTTTAGATGGTACAATGATTCTCTACACATAATTGCTTGTTTTGTCACATAAACTGAAATTAGGTGAACTATTAGAATTTTAGCAACAAGGAAATGGCAGAGCGATTTCTGCATATCGCACCTTTAAGTATGAATATTGATTAATTGACCCCATGGTCATGAAATGTGGTTTAACCTATTTATGTTGCCTAACATAGTGTGTTGTAAACAATTCAATCATAATATTCACCATAATAGGTATATTTAATCAAAAACAATGCAACAGTAAACATGTCGTCCCCCACGAATGATGCAGCGCCCTCCTTCGGCCAATCATTGTAATTTTGTAAATGCCGGATCTCTATGGCAAGACGCATGATTCACCTAAGTTTCATCAAAATCGGCCCAGTGGTGTCTGAGGTATTGCGTGGGTTAGCTAGACTCATATCCCTGAGCATGTGTGCCAAATTTCATCACTCTGAGTCAAACAGATCAAGAGACATTTACCCGTTATAGCGCCACCGTGTGGTCAATATGAATGTTCCTGCATATGTTGAGTCTTGACAGTGTTTGCAACATGTTTAACAAATTTTGTTACAATACGAACATCCTTGACTGATTTATATGCATTAATGTGCCAGGCCACGACCACGTAAATGTTTATTGGTCAATAACGGCCAGGTTATTTGAGGTACTAGTCTGTAAAATATTGCTTTGAGAGATCTTTGTCCATAGATGCCACATATCAAGTATCGTGCAGATCAGTCATTCGGTACCAGAAGAGTAGCGTTTTAAGTGTTTTTCACAAAATTCTAAATGGTGGAAAATCCATCATGGCGAACCTTATGAGAGGGACCTATGTACCGAATTTCATGACTTTTGTTCTAAGGGTGTGAGGGGCGTGACCTTTCAAAGTTTGCATTTTCAATCTCTTATTATAGAGCCACCATCTGGCCAATCAGTGTAATTTTGTAAATGCCAGATAGACAGATCCACAGTCCCCTCCCCGATTTCATTGTGGGGGACAATAAACATACTTTTTACTTACATATGAATCGTCTGGTTGAGCACATTTTTACAAAATTCTTGCTTTTTAGCCTTTTTTACATTTTAACTATTTATTTTCATATTCCTACTCTTCAAGGTCTCTACTAAGGAATGGTGCAATATTAATCACTCACCAACTGAATTCCTGACTTTTATCTCATGTCTTTGGTGACTGATTTTGAGTTTTCTTACAGCCCTCTGAGTGGACAAAGTTAGAGTGCCACAACACTAAACTACAACAACCCAAAACGATAAAAATTATGTACATTAGTGCAGGAGGGCTGGGGGAGTTCAAGTGAAGATTTTTTTCATATCCACTTCTAAATCCATTGTCACAACATGCTCTACCAGCCGATTGAGAATAGGATTAAAGGGTTAAAATGTAAACTGTATCATAAATCATGAAGACACAAACATCCCACACAACTTAATGTTATCCTATATTGATTAATGATGCTGTGTCAGGCTATGGGATGTTTTGGGACCGGCTCAGATCACCCTCTCTCTAAACTGGAAAGTGCTTTCTGTGTTGGACACAAAGTCCCTGTCAGAAGCCTTGTGATAGGGACAGACGCAGCTGGTGGACAACAGCTGACTGAACTCTCTTTCTCTCCACCCTCTCTCTTTCCAGCCCTCTGTGGATTGGGGTCGACCATCTGGTTTGCTATTGGTGCTCATGCAGAAGAGGGTCTGATGTCATTCGGCATCTCACTCTACGCCAGATGGGTCAGTGCCTTCCTCTGTCTCCTGGGGAGCTTTATGATTCTGTGTTGCCACGGTGATGACCCCTCGGGGAACCCCCAGTGGCAGGAGAACAGCTACTACTACTCCAGACAGGCAGGGGGCGCCGCCACACCAATCAACCCTGTCGCTACCGCTGTAGTCACAGTTAACCACGCCAAGAGCGCCCACGTGTGAGAGTGTATGTAAAGAGGGGTATGAGCTGCAGAGACACATCCACCATCTGGACATTCACATGGCTGGCCAGTCTTCATGACCATGACCTCATCCTGACGACCGTGACCTCACATCCTGCCAGACAGGAAGCTGGCCAGGTGCACCATCCTCCTCAGCTTTTCCCCCAGAGTTCCATCCTGTTCACTGGAATTCCACTCCTCCTCCTTCTCCACCACTGGTGTTCTAGTGTTCTGTGTTCTAGTGTAGTGAGGGAACAAAGACAGGTGTTCTCTCAGATTTATTAATTTTATTCAATGTTTTATTGAAAGTTTATCAGACAACAGCAAAACACAGATCACTCTCTCTCTGCACACATTTACACACTCTGATTCAACAATAAATACTTTCCTTTTTGAATGATCACACTCTTAAAACAAAATTAGCTTAAATATTTTCCAACCAACTCATCCAGGTACAATGTCACACCAGAGGAGTCCGAATATTAGATAGTATAAGAGAACGTTTGCGCCAGTATAATTGATTCATTGTCCGATTGATTGATTGATAGATAGATAGATGTTATACACAGCATGTTGTATGTATGTTTATAATGCAGTGTTAAATAAACTAATCTGTATTTTTGTGATAGTGACTCTTTCCAACCAGAAAACTCAATATGTAAGAGTAATCTCTGTAAAAGTCAATAAAGTTCATTCATTCACTCACTCACTCGTTCATTAGTTTATCGTTTCATCTCTCCATCCCCAGCAGGATAAAGGGGTCTCCATCTTCCTCTCTTCCCTCTCTCCCTCTCTTCCCCTGAAATCCACCCTCTAGGCACTAGTGTAGATCTAAGAGGATTGGATAAGTATTAATATTTTGCCCTTTGATAGACCAGGTGGAATCGTTGCCATATAGCTCACATGTCCTGTCCTCTCAGGTCTACTCAAGTGCCTATGGTGTAGGGGGTGGGGCTTGGGGTTGATGAGGAATTCAGCAGCCCTCTGCCCTTCCTCTCCTCTAGTGCCAGAGAAACAGGAAGTAGGTGTGTTCCGCTGCAGCTGTCACTCATAAGAGGAGCCCTCAGGTTCCTGTGGATCTGTGTAGCCCTGATTGGTTCGTCCCCTGGATCCCCTAGAGGAGCCCTGAGGGCCGGACTGGTAACCCGACTGGTTCTGGTACTGGGAGCCATCCTCATACTGGTTTCCATCCTGGTACTGGTTACCATCTTGGTTCCCATCTTGAAACTGGTTTTGGTACTGGTCACCCTCCTGATCATGGTTCTGATCCTGGTTTTGCTGTTGGTAGTGGTAGCCCTTCTCCGCTGACCAGCCCTGGTAGCGCCCCTCTTCCTGGTTGTCCTGGGGGTCAAGGTCATTGTCTGGGGAGAAGGTGTCGTCGAGGTGATCGTCATAGCGCTGGTAGGTGCTGGCGTGAGCCTGTTCCTCTCTGGTACTGATCTCCAAAGAGCTGTTCCATATCCCATAGCAACCGTAAATCAGTATACCTAGAGAGACAGACCATAATAATATCACATCCCATAGCAACCGTAGATCAGTACACCTAGAAAGAGGATAGGGGAAGGAAAGAGAGGAGCAGATGGAGGATGGAAAGATAAGGGGAGAGAGGGATGCAGGAGGGTGGAGGGAGAGAGGGGGGAGAGAGGGATGCAGGAGGGTAGAGGGAGAGAGGGGGGAGAGAGGGATGCAGGAGGGTAGAGGGAGAGAGGGGGGAGAGAGGGATGCAGGAGGGTAGAGGGAGAGAGGGGGGAGAGAGGGATGCAGGAGGGTAGAGGGAGAGAGGGGGGAGAGAGGGATGCAGGAGGGTAGAGGGAGAGAGGGGGGAGAGAGGGATGCAGGAGGGTAGAGGGAGAGAGGGGGGAGAGAGGGATGCAGGAGGGTGGAGGGAGAGAGGGGGGAGAGAGGAGGCTCTCTTCTCCACATGAAGGAAGTGACTAGTGTTGAAGAGACAGTCTAACTTACCCAGAGTGCACCAGACAGCGAAGCGTGCCCAGGTGAGCGGTGACAGTTTCAGCATCAGGTAGGAGTTCACCAAGATGGCCACCGCGGGGACAAACGGCACGCACGGCGCCATGTAGGGCAGGCTCCGCCCACTCTCCGGCTGGCGCACGATCACCATCAGTATGGTTGCTATTTTGCCCGCCAATAGTGTCGCTATGATCCCTGAAACGGCGGAGCCTGCTCCGGTCCCTCGTTCCACGCCGAAGATGACAGTGGCCCAGAGTAGGAAGGAGAGGAGGAAGAGGAGGAGGGTGCAGCGTGTCACCATGCGTCCAGAGGACGGGGTGGGACGGGCCGAGGCATCAGGGATCCCCAGGCGGACACGCAGGGTGGAGTAACGACTACCTAGAACCCTCTTCAACAGCGAGGAGGGGCCGGTGTGGAAGCTGCCAGAATCACCAGGTTCACCTGCAACACCGCTCGATTGGTAGCTGGAGCTGTCAGGGTCTGATCCTCCAATCAACATCTGGTCGTCGTTGGTGGGCAGAGTTCCTTCATCGCATTCCACCATCACGCCCTCTTTCTTCTTAGGCCCCTCCTCTTCCTCCCCAGGCAGGAAGTTGTGTGTGTCTGTGTCGGGCTGGTAGCGGAGCAGCAGGACACACACACTGACCAGGGTGTAAGCCAGTAGTGTTCCTATAGACATCATCTCTATGAGATCTTGAAGGGAGACAAGGAGAGACATGAGAGCAGCCAGACAGCCAGACACCAAACACGCTACTGCTGGAGTGTGAGTGTACGGAGAGACGTTGGCCAGGAACCTACACACACAGGAATAGACACACATTAATACCACTAGTCTGTGTGGACACTTAGTGAACATTCATCTTAATAACATTAGTCTGTGTGTGTGTGGTGTTCACCTGAAGAGCAGTCCATCTCTAGCCATAGCGTATATGACCCTGGGCATGGGGAACAAGGAGCCCAGTAGACTAACAGTGAGGCCAGCTATGGACCCTACAGCCACTATGTATTTCCCCGGCAGGAACCCATGCACTGCAAACATCTCCATCAGAGGAGCTGAACCATCGATCAGGTCATAAGGAACCATCAGAGTCAGAATCACAGACACCTAGGGAGGGATACACACACATTAATACCACACAGACACCTAGGGAGGGATACACACACATTAATACCACACAGACACCTAGGGAGGGATACACACACATTAATACCACACAGACACCTAGGGAGGGATACACACACATTAATACCACACAGACACCTAGGGAGGGATACACACACATTAGTACCACACAGACACCTAGGGAGGGATACACACACATTAATACCACACAGACACCTAGGGAGGGATACACACACATTAGTACCACACAGACAAAGACACACACACACGTAATAATTAAGGCAGTAATAGCAGAGAGGATGGAGGTGTGTGTGTACTCACAGAGATGTATGCAGTCAGGCAGGTTATCAGACTAGCAGTAATAGCAGAGAGGATGGAGGTGTGTGTGTACTCACAGAGACGTATGCAGTCAGGCAGGTTATCAGACTAGCAGTAATAGCAGAGAGGATGGAGGTGTGTGTGTACTCACAGAGACGTATGCAGTCAGGCAGGTTATCAGACTAGCAGTAATAGCATAGGGTATAGAGGTGTTGGGACTCTTGGCTTCTTCTCCTGTCGTAGCGATGATGTCAAACCCTATGAAGGCATAGAAACAGGTGGCTGCTCCCTTCATCACCTGGTACACAAACACACAGCAGAGCGAGGTTAATGTGTTGTGTGTGTGTGTGTTTATGGATATGTGTGTGTGTGTCTAGGTGAATGCTGGTGTGTGTGTGTGTGTGTGTGTGTGTGTGTGTGTGTGTGTGTGTGTGTGTGTGTGTGTGTGTGTGTGTGTGTGTGTGTGTGTGCCTGCATATTCGTGTGTGACTGCGTTTAGCTGAGCATATCTCTTACCCCGGACCATCCGTAGGGCAGGAAGTTTCCCGCCTCCCAGTTGTCAGCAGAGAGGAAGAAGAGTCCAGCGATGACCAGGAAGCACCACACTACCAGGTTGACCATGTTCAGAACGTTATTCAACCCTACCGAGTTACGAACCCCTAACGACACAATCACCGTGACAACCAGCGATATGGCCATGGCCAGGACATCAGGGTACGACTCCTCCCCTTTACCTGCAGGGGAGGGGGAGGGGAGATTATAGACACACACACACACAAACACACATACAGTGAGGGAAAAAAGTATTTGATCCCCTGCTGATTTTGTACGTTTGCCCACTGACAAAGACATGATAAGTGAGAGAGGTTTATTTGAACAGTGAGAGACAGAATAACAACAACAAAATCCAGAAAAACGCACGTCAAAAATGTTATAAATTGATTTTTGCATTTTAATGAGGGAAATAAGTATTTAACACCCTCTCAAGCAGAAAGATTTCTGGCTCCCAGGTGTCTTTTATACAGGTAACGAGCTGAGATTAGGAGCACACTCTTAAAGGCAGTGCTCCTAATCTCAGCTTGTTACCTGTATAAAAGACACCTGTCCACAGAAGCAATCAATCAATCAGATTCCAAACTCTCCACCATGGCCAAGACCAAAGAGCTCTCCAAGGATGTCAGGGACAAGATTGTAGACCTACACAAGGCTGGAATGGGCTACAAGACCATCGCCAAGCAGCTTGGTGAGAAGGTGACAACAGTTGGTGCTATTATTCGCAAATGGAAGAAACACAAAATAACTGTCAATCTCCCTCGGCCTGGGGCTCCATGCAAGATCTCACCTCGTGGAGTTGCAATGATCATGAGAACGGTGAGGAATCAGCCCAGTACTACACGGGAGGATCTTGTCAATGATCTCAAGGCAGCTGGGAACATAGTCACCAAGAAAACAATTGGTAACACACTACGCCGTGAAGGACTGAAATCCTGCAGCGCCCGCAAGGTCCCCCTGCTCAAGAAAGCACATATACAGGCCCGTCTGAAGTTTGCCAGTGAACATCTGAATGATTCAGAGGAGAACTGGGTGAAATTGTTGTGGTCAGATGAGACCAAAATCGAGCTCTTTGGCATCAACTCAACTCGCCGTGTTTGGAGGAGGAGGAATGCTGCCAATGACCCCAAGAACACCATCCCCACCGTCAAACATGGAGGTGGAAACATTATGTTTTGGGGGTGTTTTCTGCTAAGGGGACAGGACAACTTCACCATATCAAAGGGACGTTGGACAGGGCCATGTACCGTCAAATCTTGGGTGAGAACCTCCTTCCCTCAGCCAGGGCATTGAAAATGGGTCGTGGATGGGTATTCCAGCATGACAATGACCCAAAACACACGGCCAAGGCAACAAAGGAGTGGCTCAAGAAGAAGCACATTAAGGTCCTGGAGTGGCCTAGCCAGTCTCCAGACCTTCATTCCATAGAAAATCTGTGGAGGGAGCTGAAGGTTCGAGTTGCCAAACGTCAGCCTCAAAACCTTAATGACTTGGAGAAGATCTGCAAAGAGGAGTGGGACAAAATCCCTCTTGAGATGTGTGCAAACCTGGTGGCCAACTACAAGAAACGTCTGACCTCTGTGATTGCCAACAAGGGTTTTTCCACCAAGTACTAAGTCATGTTTTGCAGAGGGGTCAAATACTTATTTCTCTCATTAAAATGCAAATCAATTTATAACATTTTGGACATGCGTTTTTCTGGATTTTTTTGTTGTTATTCTGTCTCTCACTGTTCAAATAAACCTACCATTAAAATTATAGACTGATCACGTCTTTGTCAGTGGGCAAACGTACAAAATCAGCAGGGGATCAAATACTTTTTTCCCTCACTGTATATACACACAGTCACTCACTCACCCAGGCCTCTGAGTGTCCCCAGGTGTGTTATCATGTAGCTGGAGATACTGTGATTGGCCAGTGAGTCAAACATGCTGCTGAGAGCCGACGCCCCAGCTGCTGTACCAATCAGGTACTCCAGGATCAGATTCCAGCCAATGAAAAAGGCCGTACACTCCCCCACTGTGACATAGCTGTAGGTGTAGGCTGACCCTGTTGTCTTAGGGACACGCACGCCAAACTCTGCATAACACACACCTGGAAGAGAGAGAGACACACATTTGACCCAGGTTAAACACACATACATGTCAAACTACTACAAACACAAATATGTGTGTGTGTGTCTGACCTGACAGTATAGAAGCCACATCCGTGTGTATGTGTGTGTGTGTGTGTGTGTGTGTGTGTGTGTCTGACCTGACAGTATAGAAGCCACAGCCGTGTGTGTGTGTGTGTGTGTGTGTGTGTGTGTGTGTGTCTGACCTGACAGTATAGAAGCCACAGCCGTGTGTGTGTGTGTGTGTGTGTGTGTGTGTGTGTGTGTGTGTATGTGTGTGTGTGTGTCTGACCTGACAGTATAGAAGCCACAGCCGTGGGTGTGTGTGTGTGTGTGTGTGTGTGTGTGTGTGTGTGTGTGTGTGTGTGTGTGTGTGTCTGACCTGACAGTATAGAAGCCACAGCAGCGATGATGAAAGACAGGATCACTCCCGGCCCCGCCATCTCCTTAGCAACCAGCCCGGCAACCACGTACATCCCCGTGCCAACACAGCTCCCCACCCCTAGCGACACCAGGTCAGCTGTCGTCAGGACCCTAGCCAGCCCCCCTACCTCTGTGATATCATCGCTGACCTCTGACCCCTGCCCCATCCTGCCCACAGGTTTGGTCCTGAGCAGGCGGGAGTACAGGTTGTACCACGCATCGCTCCAGGACACACGCCTCAGCCATTCTGCCATAGCGGTGGGAACAGGGGATGGGTGTGTGTGTGTGTGTGTGTGTGTGTTTGTGTTTCCTCCTTTCCTATTTATTCATCTATTACTTGATCATTCTTTCCCTCTCATTTGGCTCTCTCTCTCTCTGTCAGAGGGTATCCATGCCAGCTTCAGTCCACACTGTTCTGGAGTTGAAGTTTGCTCTGAGGTCTCTCCGTAAAAACACAGAAAAAAACATTTGTTGTAAATGTTAGACAGATTGACAGACAGTGAGTGCGTTACCTGAACACAGGTGATGCTGGTAAACCTATAACTAGAACACACAGGCATCACCTTTTCTCCTCTCTCACTGGAGCGAGACTCCCTCTAAAACATTCATCAGACAGCACCTGATCCCCCATCACAGCGGAGAACTACACCAACTTCAGCCGACAGACAACAAACTACCCTCAGTCTACAACTATAACTTATACTACTGACAGTAACATTAAGTTACTGATTTAAATAAGGTACATTTCCCTGAGGAACAAAATAAAATGGTCAGTTAGGATCACCACTTTATTTTAAGAATGTGAAATGTCAGAATAATAGTAGAGAGAATGATTTCAGCTTTTATTTCTTTCATCACAGTCCCAGTGGGTCAGAAGTTTACATACACTCAATTAGTATTTGGTAGCATTGCCTTTAAATTGTTTAACTTGGGTCAAACGATTCGGGTAGCCTTTCACAAGCTTCCCACAATAAGTTGGGTGAATTTTGGCCCATTCCTCCTGACAGAGCTGGTGTAACTGAGTCAGGTTTGTAGGCCTCCTTGCTCTCACATGCTTTTTCAGTTCTGCCCACACATTTTCTATAGGATTGAGGACAGGGCTTTGTGATGGCCACTCCAATACCTTGACTTTGTTGTCCTTAAGCCATTTTGCCACAACTTTGGAAGTATGCTTGGGGTCATTGTCCTTTTGGAAGACCCATTTGCGACCAAGCTTTAACTTCCTGACTGATGTCTTGAGATGTTGCTTCAATATATCCACATAAATTTCCTTCTTCATGATGCCATCTATTTTGTGAAGTGCACCAGTCCCTCCTGCAGCAAAGCACCCCCACACCGTGCTTCACGGTTGGGATGGTGTTCTTCGGCTTGCAAGCAGCACCCTTTTCCTCCAAACATAACGATGGTCATTATGGCCAAACAGTTCTATTTTTGTTTCATCAGACCAGAGGACATTTCTCCAAAAAGTAAGATCTTTGTCCCCATGTGCAGTTGCAAACCGTAGTCTGGCTTTTTTTATGGCGGTTTTGGAGCAGTGGCTTCTTCCTTGCTGAGCGGCCTTTCAGGTCATGTCGATATAGGACTCGTTTTACTGTGGATATAGATACTTTTGTACCTGTTTCCTCCAGCATCTTCACAAGGTCCTTTGCTGTTGTTCTGGGATTGATTTGCACTTTTCGCACCAAAGTACGTTCATCTCTAGGAGACAGAATGTGTCTCCTTCCTGAGCGGTATGACGGCTGTGTGGTCCCATGGTGTTTATACTTGCGTACTATTGTTTGTACAGATGAACGTGGTACCTTCAGGCGTTTGGAAATTGCTCCCAAGGATGAACCAGACTTGTGGAGGTCTACAATTTCTTTCCTGAGGTCTTTGCTGATTTCTTTAGATTTTCCCATGATGTCAAGCAAAGAGGCACTGAGTTTGAAGGTAGGCCTTGAAATACATCCACAGGTACACCTCCAATTGACTCAAATGATGTCAATTAGCATACCAGAAGCTTCTAAAGCCATGACATCTTTTTCTGGAATTTTCCAAGCTGTTTAAAGGCACAGTCAACTTAGTGTATGTAAACTTCTGACCCACTGGAATTGTGATACAGTGAATTATAAGTGAAATAATCTGTCTGTAAACAATTGTTGGAAAAATTACTTGTGTCATGCACAAAGTAGATGTCCTAACCGACTTGCCAAAACTATAGATTGTTAACAAGAAATTTGTGGAGTGGTTGAAAAACAAGTTTTAATGACTCCAACCTAAGTGTATGTAAACTTCCGACTTCAACTGTAAGTCTATATGAATAAAAAAAACAGGTTTCCATATGTAGGCTGCAGCTTCACAATAAAGAACCCACAGGTGACTGACAGACAGGTGACTGACAGACAGGTGACTGACAGACAGGTGACTGACAGACAGGTGACTGACAGACAGGTGACTGACAGACAGGCGAGACCACAACAGACAGGTGAATAACATAGAACATATCTCTAGTCTTTCAACACATATGTACATGAACGCACATACAGGACACAGAATGAACACTCACCTGTTTCGTGCTTTCCCCAGGAGAATCGGCAAATATAGGAGCTTTAACTTGGTTCCATGTCTACTGCAGAGAAAGAGAGAGCAGCCAAGGCCGGACTGGGAGGAGGCGAAAGAGGAGGTCGCAGGGAGAGAAGGGGGTCAATTATTCAGTAGCCAGTCCATGTGATCAGAGACAAGTCTATTATTCATCACCAAGGAGCTAGCCTGGGTGTGTGTCTGTCTGGCTGTCCTGGTGCTGTTGTGCTGATCCCGTAGGAGACCTGGGTGTGTGTCTGTCTAGCTGTCCTGGTGCTGTTGTGCTGATCCCGTAGGAGACCTGGGTGTGTGTCTGTCTAGCTGTCCTGGTGCTGTTGAGCTGATCCCGTAGGAGACCTGGGTGTGTGTCTGTCTAGCTGTCCTGGTGCTGTTGTGCTGATCCCGTAGGAGACCTGGGTGTGTGTCTGTCTAGCTGTCCTGGTGCTGTTGTGCTGATCCCGTAGGAGACCTGGGTGTGTGTCTGTCTAGCTGTCCTGGTGCTGTTGTGCTGATCCCGTAGGAGACCTGGGTGTGTGTCTGTCTAGCTGTCCTGGTGCTGTTGTGCTGATCCCGTAGGAGACCTGGGTGTGTGTCTGTCTAGCTGTCCTGGTGCTGTTGTGCTGATCCCGTAGGAGACCTGGGTGTGTGTCTGTCTAGCTGTCCTGGTGCTGTTGTGCTGATCCCGTAGGAGACCTGGGTGTGTGTCTGTCTAGCTGTCCTGGTGCTGTTGTGCTGATCCCGTAGGAGACCTGGGTGTGTGTCTGTCTAGCTGTCCTGGTGCTGTTGTGCTGATCCCGTAGGAGACCTGGGTGTGTGTCTGTCTAGCTGTCCTGGTGCTGTTGTGCTGATCCCGTAGGAGACCTGGGTGTGTGTCTGTCTAGCTGTCCTGGTGCTGTTGTGCTGATCCCGTAGGAGACCTGGGTGTGTGTCTGTCTAGCTGTCCTGGTGCTGTTGTGCTGATCCCGTAGGAGACCTGGGTGTGTGTCTGTCTAGCTGTCCTGGTGCTGTTGTGCTGATCCCGTAGGAGACCTGGGTGTGTGTCTGTCTAGCTGTCCTGGTGCTGTTGTGCTGATCCCGTAGGAGACCTGGGTGTGTGTCTGTCTAGCTGTCCTGGTGCTGTTGTGCTGATCCCGTAGGAGACCTGGGTGTGTGTCTGTCTAGCTGTCCTGGTGCTGTTGTGCTGATCCCGTAGGAGACCTGGGTGTGTGTCTGTCTAGCTGTCCTGGTGCTGTTGTGCTGATCCCGTAGGAGACCTGGGTGTGTGTCTGTCTAGCTGTCCTGGTGCTGTTGTGCTGATCCCGTAGGAGACCTGGGTGTGTGTCTGTCTAGCTGTCCTGGTGCTGTTGTGCTGATCCCGTAGGAGACCTGGGTGTGTGTCTGTCTAGCTGTCCTGGTGCTGTTGTGCTGATCCCGTAGGAGACCTGGGAATGAGCCAGGTGTGTCTATAGACGGGAGAGACTCAGTCAGTCAATGGTTAAATACACCACTAGACCCTAGCTATGTGTGAGTGCTACTGACCTCATCTGATCAACAGCCCTCTTATATTAGATCCCATAGGCCTGGATCAAGGGGATCCCAGCAGTGGATTTAGTGTCAGCAGAAAGAAGAGATCTAAGACCCCTGAGGAACAGAGAGATGATGGAGGAGAGGAGTTTAAGGTGGAGATAATATTTAATGACCCTCCTCTCTCTTCTCCAGGTTATTTTTGTGGTGTTGACTGTTGAGGGCTGGGTTATAAGGGGTTTAGGATCATGTGGGCTGGGGTATAAAGGGTTTAGGATCATGTGGGCTGGGTTATAAGGGGTTTAGGATCATGTGGGCTGGGGTATAAAGGGTTTAGGATCATGTGGGCTGGGGTATAAAGGGGTTTAGGATCATGTGGGCTGGGGTATAAAGGGGTTTAGGATCATGTGGGCTGGGGTATAAGGGGTTTAGGATCATGTGGGCTGGGGTATAAAGGGTTTTGGATCATGTGGGCTGGGGTATAAAGGGTTTTGGATCATGTGGGCTGGGGTATAGCACTAGGTATGGTCTGAGGACAATGTTATAGCTACTGTGCTGCTCAGTATTGTATTGTTGTTGTAATCTGCTTGTCATCTGACAGAACAGATCGGGTTGCCTACCTGCAGTCTGACTAATCAGTCTCAGCACTAATGACACACATGCTCACACACACACAGTTCCCTGCGCTATAGAGCAGAAACAATGAGACTCAGTTAAAGAAGCACACACACGTGGACAAAGACAGAAAAACACACTACTGGGCAGTTGCAGGGTCATTCAGGGTGAAATGGGCACTGGGCATTCCTAAGGCGGTGCTTTATCCACAGCAGATGAGAGCAGATCAGAGTGAGAAAAGACCAACGCATCCACACACAATCAGACACGCCTAACAAACCAGGGGTGCGCTCAGTTTGCTTGAACGTTTGCTACGTTGTGGAACGGTTTGTACTGAAGAATGCGTTTCTCCAAAACTTACTTGAACAGACTTTGGGGTACATTTGCTCCCGTTTGGGGGGGTGTGGCTTGAAGCAATGAGTGACGTATTTAAAGGGCCTTGGCCATGCTGACAGCGTTCCCAACCCTCAACCCAACCCCTCCCCGGTTTTCAACTGGTCGTTCAGTACAGCACCCTTTCAGTTCAATTGAACGTTCCAGAACGTAAAAACGTACTTGAGACAAGCCGTTACTGTGAACTGTGGCACAGACTAGCACTTAACCCAACACATCTATACAAGCAAATATACACCCTCACAGATGAAAGGGTGGGATCATCCCCAGGAAAACGTCACTCTGCTCCTGGGATTATAAAACATTAACTGGCATTCTAACATCAGCCAAGGTAGACGGTTATATAACAGATTAAGGAAACTCACTGGCATTCTGACACACCAAACTAGAAAAACAATAAAATATAAAGAAGACAACTGCTACCACAGAGCCGAGAGCTTCACTGTGTTTTTTCCAGAACATGTCTTGGCAGCACAACGGAACAATAGTAAACCACCTGCATTTGGTTCGGACACAGACTCAGCCCAACATACAGACTACTGCTACCTAAACGCTACACATTAACAGTTAGTTGGTCAGAAAGACTTGTTTGCGTTATAGTGAACTGAAGGCTGCAGAGCCTGGGGTATCTACACTGTGGGTGGGGTATAGCAAAGATCATACAGTAGTAGGGTTTGTGCTCTGGTTATAGTATGATAACACCGTACTCCATCTTCTAAGAGCAGTGCGTCGGTGAGGTTATTTATTTTACATTCTAAAAAACCTACCGGTTTATCCAACATTGCTGTTAGCCGTGCTGATCTGCACACTGTATAACAATATAACAGGACACAGTATCACTCAGCTCCTGGTGACATCAGGTGGACATACTAGGAATTACACCTGTGGTGGTCATCAGAAATTCTGGGAGAATTATTCCCCACTGAAATCATACTTCATTGAAACAGTCTTGCACCCACAAAATAAGCAGAACACACCAGGGCTGTTTAGTTGATCACATTTATTCTCCTATCAAGACTCCAGCTCATGATGACGTGCACTGAAGTCTGCAGTCCATCCACTGAAAAACACAAATGACTTTCCCCTCACACCCAGGTGACACGTGTGTGTGTGTGGGACCGGCCAGTCTCCAGTCCTGCATGCTGGGGCAGGTGGGCGGCGCTTGTTTCTACTCGTCATTGTCCGACTCCTCCTCTTCCTGGCTGATCTGGAAGTATCTCAGCTCGTAGGTCTCCTTGTCCGACGCCACGACTCTCAACCAATCACGGAGGTTGTTCTTCTTCAGGTACTTCTTGGTCAGGTATTTCAGGTACCTGTGGACCAATGGGAGAGGAGAATGAGTTTGACGTCAAAGAAGGGGAGAAGAACACTTCAGCCCTGTCCTAAAGGGTAGAGGCCAGGATGTTTCTCAAACCTACTCCTGGTTAAAAAAAGGCATGCTCAATGGAGTTAATATTGAGCATGCTGAGTAGTAGACTATGGACACCAATAGCTCACCTCTTAGATAACTGCTTCTGTGAGGTGACATTGATCTTGTTCTTCAGGCGGGCGATCTCGACAACATTTGCCAGATTTCCTGTCTTGCCGTTGACCTTTACCCTCTCTTTGAGGAAGGTTTCCTGTTGGACAGAGCATAGTGACACTAGGGAAGAGAACCCTAGGGTTTGAGCTAGGGAAGGGAACCCTAGTCAGCTAGGGAATGGAACCCTAGTCCACACACAGAGTTAGGCAAACATAACAAAGTATAATATCCTTAGCCTGTTTAATGATGAGGAGGACGAGTAGCCTGGTGGTGTCAGGCGAAGTAGGGCCGGTAACTTACGAAGTTGGCCGAGTCCAGAATGCCGTCCTCCACAGGGTGGGTCAGGTCCAGGGTAAACTTCCAGGACACACCCTTTTTGGTCCTCTTGACCACAGTCTGTTTCTTCTGCTTTAGCTAGGGAACACAAAACCATGGCATTCAGATCATAGAAATATAAAAAGGACAGGAATTATTCTACTATGACTCGGATCGCCATGACAGGCGTTCCTCCATCTAATGTTACTCCTGATTCTAAACCATGGCTCTCAAGAGGATAGAATAGGTATCATGCCAACATGACTCAGCTTTCACCAGACTAGAGTAGTGTAACGCAGGGGTGTCAAAATCATTCCGTAGAGGGCTTTGTGTCTGCTAGTTTACCGTTTCAATTAAGACCTAGACAACCAGGTGAGGGGAGTTCCATACTAATTACTGACCTTCATTAATCAATCAAGTACAAGGGAGGAGCAAAATCCTGCAGACACTCGGCCCTCCGTGGAATGAGAATAGCAAATGGATCTAATTCACACTGACCCTCAATCCAAAGTTAGATCAAACGTATTTATGCCATAGCTAGTGAAAAGAGGATGCCAAATGTATACTTGTAAATTAAACAAATATTTTTAATTGGGAAAACATCTAATCTATGCTCGGAAATTACTTTAGAGCAGCGTTTCCCAAACTCAGTCCTGGGGTGGACCGAGGGCTGCACATTTTGGTTTTCGCCCTAGCACTACACAGCTGATTCAAATAATCAAAACTTGACATTTACATTTTAGTCATTTAGCAGACGCTCTTATCCAGAGCGACTTACAGTTTAGTGACTGCATACATTTTTCATACTGGCCCCCCGTGGGAAACGAACCCACAACCCTGGCGTTGCAAGCGCCATGCTCTACCAACTGAGCTACAGGGGACCCTGACGAGTTCATTATTTGAATCAGCTGTGTACATAGTAACCTATGTTTTTCTGTTCTCTGAACGTTAATAAAACCTCCAAGGAAAACCGTAGGACCATAGAAAAACCGTCTCAGAACCTCCCTGCAACCTAAAAATCTACATTCCCAAAACAGGCTACATTTTCACTTCCGTTCTCCGAACATTTAAAAAACTCAGTTTTTTAATTTTTGTTCTATGGATTCTATTTCTACAGATTGTACTTCACGCTGTCAGTGAACAGATAAAGCGCTTTTGCTAATTTCAAACTACAATCGCAGGAAATACGATTGGAAAGCAAATCACTACTGCTGAAAAGAGAATACTAATTTGTCAGTTGAAGTTACAATTTTTTTTCTCAACTTACAAACATCACTGCTTTTTCAAAGTAGCTCAGGCCTATCTTGAGACCATCACTGGTATGGTGAGAAGGCTACACATATTCATGTTATTTTCATCATATGGTGAGTCAGTGCCACTGGGAAGTTGATTTAATAGCCTATAAAATGTATATTTCCTCCTAATATTGTACAATTTGTCTCCCTTTTTATTGGCCCTGGGCCAGGTCAAGACCAAGGCCCAGTTTTCCAAAAACATCTTAAGGCCGTTTTAATTTTTAGAACGATAGGATCCTATGGTTCCAACAATTTAGCCTAAGATGCTTTTGGGAAACCGGGCCCAGGTAGTTTTTATTTCTGTCAGAGTAGCCACTCATTTGTGTAGTATTAAAAATGGTATGTCATGTAGGCCTAAATGAAGTAGAATTGCATGAAATAAGTTTACAAAAGCCCAAAATTCTTCTGGACCCTACTAAGATTTCCCCACGTGTTTAAATCCTAAACGCTTGATGAAACTGTATACCACGAGGCAAATCCGGTGAGGCAAAATATCTATTAGAATGCATTATTATATCACTTATCAGCACCCACAACTGAAAACATCTTCCCGCGGATATGTTAGGGCAAAAAACAAAACGCGCACCCCTTTGAGGTCCCCAAGACCGAGTTTGGCAGACGTTGCTTTACAGCAATGATAACTTTGAAACTGAACACGTATAATGCTAGCTAGCTAGCTTAGCCTAGCTGCCTATTGAATGGCGAGTAGTTTCTTGCTTTATTTCATCACATAACTCCAGAAATACATTTTGAGATGTAAAATGGTGCACATTTTGTTAAGTAAAAGTGAAATTAACAATGATAAGAAGGGTTTTTCTGTCGAGCTCTTTTCACGTACCGGTGCCATCTTGAGTGTGCGGAGTAGAAAGGAAGTTGCATCAATCAGGCGCGGTGTTAGTAAACGTCGTTACGTGAGCCCTTTGCCTAATATGGTCATTGTTCTGTGAACGGCATTCCAAATTGGAATTTGGCATATTCTACTGTAGACTGCAGTACACTGATGAATTAAATGAAGGAAATACTATTCCCATACTTTCAATAAATAAATCACTGGTGCTGTATAGTTGTGAATTGACTATTTTTCTGTAGTTTACCTTTGAATGCTGTATTTTTACAAGCTTTTGTATCTCTTATGTTAAATCTATTGTATATATTAGTTTTTTTTAAATGGAGGCCTTCATTGGTTATTATTGGTTGTTCTTATGTTATGTTGATCCACGACAAAGACCATGTCGGGTCCAAAGAGCAGCCAGACAGAACCCACCCAGACCCAGCATGAGAGAGTGGTCAATCATTGACAGGTAGAAAAGCAGGGTCGTGGCTTTGCTGATGTAATGGGTCTGTATTGTTGCTAATATGCTTACTGAGTAGCCTGACCACAAGCATGCATGAGTGACCAACAAGCTCACACACCTTATTTTATATTTATTTTATCGAAATCTTCTATACAGTGCCTATAGAAAGTCTACAACCCGTTGAACTATTTTTACGTTGTTGCGTTACAAAGTGGGATTGAAATAGATTTAAAGGGGTAATTGGCAGTAGAAACAATAACAAAGAGGCCTCCCCGCCACTGGTTCGGTAAAAAGCTGAGGGATAGGGCTGGAGAAATGTATTCACTCTCAAATTCATATACAGAGCTATTTGTATTTATTATGGATCCCCATTAGCTCCTGCCAAGGCAGCAGCTACTCTTCCTGGGGTCCAGCAAAATTAAGGCAGTTATACATTAAAAAAAACATTACATTACATTCATAACAGATTTCACAGCACACTAATTGTGTGCCCTCAGGCCCCTACACTACCACATATCTACAACACAAAATCCATGTGTACGTGTGTGTATAGAGAGTATGTTATCATGTGTGTGTATGCATGTGTCTGTGCCTATGTTTGTGTTGCTTCACAGTCCCCGCTGTTCCATAAGGTGTATTTTTATCTGTTTTTTAAAATCTGATTCTACTGCTTGCATCAGTTACCTGATGTGGAATAGAGTTCCATGTAGTCATGGCTCTATGTAGTACTGTGCGCCTCCCATAGTCTGTTCTGGACTTGGGGACTGTGAAGAGACCTCTGGTGGCATGTCTTGTGGGGTATGCATGGGTGTCTGAGCTGTGTGCCAGTCGTTCAAACAGACAGCTCGGTGCTTTCAACATGTCAACACCTCTCACATGGATGCAAGGATTGACAGTCCATGATATCAAAATGATAGTTTTAACCATGTTGAGGCTATATAGTTTGTTTACATTCTCTTTGTTTACAAACATTGGAGTAAAACAAGCTTCTATTTTGGGTTCTGATGGGGTATGACAGTTGAACTATGCACAAGGCATTTATGTATAAGTTATATTCTTAAAGAATCAATGGGTACATATAATTAATTTAGTCCACAAATGGATATAGCAACTGCTGATTGCCCCTTTAATTGTATTTATTTTGTAATTGATCTACACAAAATACTCCATAATGTCAAAGTGAAAATAACATTTTTACAAATTTTTACATATTAATACAAATTGTATAACTAAAATGTAGTCATTGCATAAGTATTCACCCCCATTGTTTAGGCAAGCCTAAATTTTGTTCAGACATGACCCCCCCCCCCCCCCCCCCCCCCCCCCACATTCTGAAATTGAATTTTTGTCCCCCACAGTTTTATCATTGTACTGTGATACAAAAAGCGGCATCAGTGTGCTTTAGGACCATTACATTTACATTTTAGTCATTTAGCAGACGCTCTTATCCAGAGCGACTTACAGTTAGTGAGTGCATAAATTTTTTTCATACTGGCCCCCCGTGGGAATCGAACCCACAACCCTGGCGTTGCAAACGCCATGCTCTATCAACTGAGCTACCTTTGGTTGGGTAGGCTGTTTGGCGGTATCAGCCGGCTGGATTTAGGACCACACGGACGCCACAGAGCGCGCAAACAGAGGCAGCTGTTGTTTGTATGTGTTGTGCTTTTTCTCCAAGTTGTAAAAGCAAGCAGAGCAGAAACTGGCTACTCTTTATTTGACTGATACAAGCTGACAAGGTAACTGCTGTTTGACTTAACAACAACAAAAAAGTATTTATTCCCAGTGCTGAGTTAGTGTAATGTAATGTAAGCTAATGCATTACATGTTTCATCCCCTCTGTCTGAAGTGAATGAACTAGCTAGCAAGCTAGTAGCTACCACAGCCAGTCCAGCTCTAGATATCTGTCAGTAGCAGTCTTTAACAGCTGTTGTGTGTGTGGAAATGTTTTGTAGTCTTAGTTTTTTGTCTAGTTTCAACAGAAGTAAATTAACTTGGCTAGTTTTCGCCAGTTGATGTACCATTTGGATCTAGCCAAAAGTTGGCTAATGTTAGCTAGCTCACTGACTTTAGCTATTATTTTTGCCTCAATCACACTAAACCTGAATCAAATGATGAAACCAGCAGCCAAATGATTGAAGACTGATATTCTGACGTTTTTTGACAGCACAATGTGAATTTTTATTAGTCAGTATAGCAATGTAACATTATTGATCTATCGGTTTCCCTAGCTAATTCCCTACTTCTTTAATACTGACATGGTATAAACAGCTGTACAGGCTTCACTGTCATGGTGCACAGTCAGTACACAACACTATGCTCATCATATCTTCGCAGGATCAGATGGTGACAGGTGTCCCAGCAGGGTAAGACAGCCACGGAAGACCAGTCTATGGAGCTCAGGTGAATTGTTATATTATATCAACCTGTGAATGGATACAAAGTTCCATCTTAAGTTGATGGTCATTTCAATTATTGAACTATTGATTCTATTCTTGGATAATATAATGTATAAATGTACACCAAGGTAACTTTGTCATGCCTCATCTGAGCAGGATCAGATGGTGACAGGGGTTTCAGCAGTTAGGGAAGACCAGTCTGTGACGGTGCTGAGGTGATCTTTTGCAGATTCAACACTTTATTCTCTCAGTGCAGCAAACACTGGACAAGCCAGAAGCTTATAAGATTTAAACTATTTTAAGGCAGTCTGACAAACCTCTAAAGTTGATTTCCAAACTGTATCAAGGGTTGATAGAGGCTTTTCCCGATGACACAAAACATGTAAAACAAAGATGTGAGGAAGAACTGGGAGACACTATTATGTTAGAATGCCCAGTCGTGTTCATATAATCTCAGTCTTACATTACTGCAGTTTAAGACCATCCATATAATGTACTACATGCCAGTGAAACTGAATATCATGCACTCAGAAATGGATGGCAGAAATGTCAAGTTATGTATCACTAGATTTGATTTATTACAAGATTAAGGTTATACTGTGCAACTTTCATAAGGTCTGGATTCCTTATATGGAATACTGTACAACAAAAGGAGTCTGTATTGAAAACATGACCACGTCAGCGAAGATACCTATACTGCACAAAAATATAAACGCAACATGTAAAGTGTTGGTCCCATGTTTCATGAGCTGAAATAAAAGATCCCAGAAATTTTCCATATGCACAAAAAGCTTATTTCTCTCAAATGTTGTGCACAAATTTGTTTACATCCCTGTTAGTGAGCATTTATCCTTTGCCAAAATAATCCATCCACCTGACAGGTGTGGCATATCAAGAAGCTGATTAAACAGTTGCATCTTGTGCTGGAAACAAAAGGCAGCTCTAAAATGTGCAGTTTTGTCACAACACAATGCCACAGATGTCTGAGGTTTTGAGGGAGTGTGAAATTGGCATGCTGACTGCAGGAATGTCCACCAGAGCGGTTGCCAGAGATTTCAATGTTTATTTCTCTACCATAAGCCACTTCCAACATTGTTTTAGAGAATTTGGCAGGACGTCCAACCAGCCTCACAACTGCAGACCACGTGTAATCACGCCAGCCCAGGACCTCCACATCTGGCTTCTTCACCTGCAGGATCGTCTAAGACCAGCCACCTGGACAGCTGATGGAACTGAGGAGTATTTATATCTGTAATAAAACCCTTTTGTGGGCCTATGCCCTCCCAGGCCACCCATGGCTGTGAAATCCATAGATTAGGGCCTCATTTATTTATTTCAATTAACTGATTTCCTTATAGGAACTGTAACTCCGGTAAAATCGTTGGAATTGTTGCATCTATTTTTGTTCAGTGTGTGTGTGTATATATATATATATATATATGAGTGAGATGATGAAACATTGAATTTGGCCTTACTGCTATTAGCCCATAGAAACGCATTAAGGAACAGATTCATACATGGAAAAACAGGTAGTCACAAAATAAATCAAAAGGAAATTTGTTTTAAAGTTTCTGTCCTATATCTGAGATATAATAAAGATCAGGAATTTTAAAAAAACATTTGGGACCCATATTTAACACATTTTCCATAGAGGGGTAAACCCAGTGCTTGACTTTGGCCGGAGCTGTTTTGAAGGAATTGCGTTCCAGCTCTATAAAAACAAAGTAGCCTGTCACTGGCCCAGATTCACTCACCAAGGCAAAAAAGGTTGATCAAAGCTGAATGAAGGCGGGATATTCATTGAATAGCAATGGGGAGTGGGCATTCATTTTCTGATTCCGCTTTGTTCAAATGTATTTGCCGCTAGTCTGTGAATCTGTGCGTGAAAGTTGGATGTTCGAGATTGCGCAGATTTAAAATGCGCCAACCTGAATGGCATGATGCGCTGTTCCAAGTTGTTAAATTAGGGTTTGTTAGGGCATGAAAATTATTTTCATAATTGTTAATGTAATTCATGTGTAGTATCTGAAGATTCTATGACTTTGGCTGAGGTTTGCATATTCTGCTTTGCGGAAACATCTGGAAAACATTACTATAGGGGCCCCCTAAGACAGAGGAGATTCGGATGTGTAAAGGCCAGGGATTGGTCTATAAAAAACCACCCATATTATGTTACATATTATAAATACCATGGTTGGAACAAAGGAGGGAGAGGAATAACATATTAGAGATTGGGTCAGTTGTTCTCCAGATGTCTGCAGGAGTCTGTAAATTGATACTGTAATCTTTGACGTAATAAACCATTATAATCAAGGACAGTGTCGGCGGATTTCTTGTCATCACAGCATGTCAGCATCGTTGTCTCGACACTACACATGAAAGCACACTTTTAAATATGATCAATCAATAAAAAAAAGTACATATCAGCCATTATCGGAATGACCCTTCAGTGCATGTCTGTGTGTGTGTGCCAGTGCAAGTGGGCCATTGCCCGAGGAGAGGGCGCGGACATTTCAGCGGCAGGTTTAAAATAATCACAGACAAACTAGATCACCAATTCAGTTAGCTATAGTTAACCAGGGAGATAACTAAGGATTAATTTCGCTGTCGCCGTTCCACCGGAACTGTAGAGCCTAGATAAATCTGCACCGTTGGAAAACTGGGATTCCCCTCTATTAAACAGTAGCCATGTAATTGCGACAACGTAAAACATATTCTAATAGCCTAATTGACAAATAACTTGCTGTGCACATCTCACATCTCACCCCTGAAACATGAACATTTGAGTCTAATAAACACGCCTAGTTGTACCTTGCTTTGAAGTAGCCTACCTTATCAATTTGATCCCTGATTTATTGAATGAGGTAATCATTTTATAAAGAGAAAAGTATTTGGTTGGAATATTTTATATCAAGGGTGACAACCATCCTCCAGGATAGCTACTGGGTGTGCAGGCTTTTGTTCAAGCCCTGATCTAACCACATTGTAGCCTAAACATCAGCTGCTCAACAGGACCTTGATAAGCAGACTTGGGTGTTTAAGGGCTGGATCAAAAGCCAAGCCTGCACACCCAGAAGCGCTCCAGATGGAGGGTTGACCACGTGAGTAACAGTGCAGTTCTATGTGGGGGGCTAAGTGCCTTGATCAAGGGCACAATGGCAGAAGGTGGTAAGTCTACATGGGATCAGACACAGCAGCTTTCCAGTGTCAATAACGCTTTACTTTTTCATGTAGGCAATAATAATAGTCATGAACATTTGGTTAAAAGTCATGGAGAAGTCATGGAAAATGTGTATCAACCAGTAAGTCTCTAGCATAATGTCATTTATGAATTTCGGTGAACATAGTCTAATGGACCGACTTGGAAAAAAGACAGCTCCTGCACTTATCCATCAATCACTGGGTAAACCGTTTGGATGCTACAGACGTTTGTGAGAAGACCGATTTTTGGGATGTCTCATGGTCTGCCAAACACCGCTGTAGCTCTGCCACCTTCCACCGCAGACGTGGAAGGCCGGCATTGGTGAATGCGGTGGATTGAGACGCAGCCCATGCAAAAAAACAGATCTTTATCTTAAACAGATGGATTTTGATGGGGACTTTTGTATTATGCTAATTCGATTCAGTGGGTGCGCAGACATCAACTCTAGGGTGTTAAAAAAAAGTTTGCATGTTTCTTCCACTTTGACATTAAGAGTAATTCTTTTTGTAGATTATTGACCAAAAAAAAAGAGACAATTTAATCAATTTTAATCCCATTTAACACAAAATGTGAAGAAATAGACTTTTCCTCACCCCAAACACAAACAATTTACACACACAAACGACTACATCTCCTCTGCTCAGACCAGCACGCCCCCATCCCTAGTGCCTGCATTGTTTGCCACCATTTTGTTTCTCTCTGTTGAACACTCCCTTTCAATATTTAAATAATAAATCATTAGTATGTATCGTTATCATGTTGCTCAGTTGGTAGAGCATGGCGCTTGCAACGCCAGGGTTGTGGGTTCGATTACCACGGGGGCCAGTATGAAAAATGTATGCACTCACTAACTGTAAGTCGCTCTGTATAAGAGCGTCTGCTAAATGACTAAAATGTAAATTAGTCCCCCTCATTGTGTTAATGACATAGCAAAACAATCACAAAATTAGTGCACTGGCTCTTTACTCCTCCTGTATTTAGTGGACCGATATAGCAGTAGGCAGCTCAATCTCATCCCAAAGATGCTCTATTAGGTTGAGGTCTGGGGACTGTGCAGGCAACTCATGTAAACTGAACTCGCTGTCATGTTCCAGGCAATGTTTTTCCACTCAGTTGTCCAGTGTTGGTGATCGAGTGTCCACTGGAGCCGAGTTGTGCGTTCCGAGATGCCGTTCTGCACACCATACTGTTGTACTGCGCCGTTATGTCAGTTTGTGGCCCGCCTGTTAGCTGGCATGATTCTTGCCATTCTCCTTTGACCTCTCATCAACGAGCTGTTTTCGCCCACAGGACTGCCGCTGACTGGAAGTTGTTTGTTTGTCGCACCATTCTCGGTAAACCCTAAACACTATCGTGTGTGAAAAGCCCAGGAGGGCAGCAGTTTGAGATTCTGGATCCGGCGCGCCTGGCACCGATGACCATACCACGCTCAGGTCACTCGTTTAGCCCATTCTAACATATAGAAACAGTTACTAAATGCCTCAATGCCTGCTTTATATAGCAAGCCACGCGACTCACTGGAGTGATCTATTTTCATGAACTTGCCGGTGAGTGTACGTACTAGTTTAGTGTTAAGACTGATCTGACTCGCGGTCCTGGTTTCTGAGAGCCTTGATGATCCCACTCAAGCATGCAGATAAGTTGTGTATGAGATATGGATTGTTGTGTGAAGAGAATGAAGGAGTCGTCACACTGCAGTGTCGAGCGTTCAGGCAGGGTGTGGCTCCCAAAGCCATATAGGCCCCTGCAGGGACAGGGCTTCATCTTGGCTCAAACCCAGCCAGTTTCACTCAGTCATTGAACCTCAGCTGAGCCCTGAACACTGGTGATATCTGCAGTGCATTGCATTGCCTCAGTTGTAACTTGCCGTGTACTCCCGGTCTGGGCACTGGGCCAAAGACTAGAAGGACAGGAAGCAGTGGAGTACGTGTCCTTCACTGGGTATCAGGGCCCAGTTTTTTCAAACGTTATCTGGATAGGATGCATAGAACTTAATGAATAGAACGGCAGTCCCCATTCAAGTCAATGATTTGTCCGTTCTATTCATTCCATTTCTATGCATGTAATCCTATAAGACAACTTGTGAAAAACAGGATTCAAACCCAGGCTGTACAAGTGCTTCAAGACTGCTGTAGCAAACTGCGCTTCAGGCTAGGAGTCAAGCACTGATTGAGTGCAGCGGCTTCCTCTCCTTTCCAGACTTCCACCATTCTGCTTTCATCTGACCCATTTTCAGACCAGTGCAGAAGGAGCTGAAGCCATGTTACAGATGTGCCAGTTGCCATGGATCAAACTGATATACTATGCGAGTATGAATGTACAGAGTAGCATACCCTATGGTCCCAGGCAACTTGGACAGTGTAGAGTTCACAACCAAAGCTGAAACCCATCCATTCCTGTCATTATTTTACGTCAAAAGAATCAGGCATTGATTGGACAGTGAAACATTCTAGTGTGAAGACAAACACAGAACCACCACCACAACCAAGAAAGCTATTTTCTATTTGTTTTAACTTTATTATTTTTTGCCATCTCCAGTCAGGTGACAAAGGCCTCGAGTGAACAAAATAAGTTTGTAACTCCACCCGCCCCCCCCCTCCCCCCGCCCCAGCCCCTCACACACACACACACACCTCACTGCAAAATGCCTTCCAGAACATTCCACGCTGCCACACCAACGCCTCACTCTTTCCGACTATTATGAGATGCCCAAGGCGGGGCCAGGTTGCCATGGTGACCGAGGCAAGCGCACAGGGCCCTCCGGCTTTCTAAACAGACAGAGCGGCATTGACAAGAGAAATCACTGAAGTTTGGTTCCATATTTAGCATCTTTTCTCTAATGTTCTCTTTTTCTTCATATCGAAGTGTTTTGAAATGCTGGGGTGGGACTGTTAAGACTGCTTGTTAAGTGCTAGCCACCGGCATTCCCACGGTTTGGGAGAAAAGCGTCAGAGTTGTCTGATCAGCCAGAGCAGAGAGGCCATGCTGGGAAGCAGCAATATGGCAGCCAGAGAGGGACAACCCTAACGGAGTTCAATGTCAGTAAAAGGGGCCACAAGCCCCCTCCTCCCACCATTCAAACAGCTCCCCCCTCCCTCTAAAAAGGCGTCAGACGAGCTCAATTATAAGGAATATAAAAAAATGATCATACAAAAAGCTGGATCCCATCATTATTTTAAACATTCAGGAATGTATGTGGCAAGACCAAAACATCTCGAAGGCAAAAATAAACAGGAATGAGGAAGAAGTCAAAAAAAGAATCTATATTTCACCAATAAGTACTTTTCTTTATATAGTAGATTATGTATAACTAAACAAAACCTCAGTGATCCGGCAGAATGCCACCCAACACAGCGAGCGTGCCGTGGTAACGGTGGGACAGCCCGACAGCGTCAGGAGAGAGAAACCAAAAAACGAGAGGGGAAAAAACAAAGGAGTAATCACAACAGAATGATTGAGGTGGTCTGAAGGCCGTCGCTTTGGTGACAGAAGAACCAATAAGAATGTTAGAGACTGGTTGTGGGTGGAGTTTGTTGCCTGGGCAGGCCAGTCCTGTCTTTCTATTTGCCACCGGTCATCTGCTTAATGGCCACAGCACACTCCTCCCCCATAGCAGACAGCACAGAGACCTGCAGACAGAGATATGATTGGTTAAGGCTAAGACCAACAAACCCGTCAAGCTTCACACACCACCCAAAACGCGCACACACCCAGTTCCAGACTCACCAGGATATCCTCCGAGGCGGCAAACTTCTGCTCTATCTCCTTGCCCAGGTCTGAATCAGGCACACGCAGGTCCTCCCTCACGTCTCCATTGTCACCCATGAGGGACATGAACCCATCAGTGATGTTCAACAGCTGGAAACACAAAACATGTGTTACATCCACAGTCGGACACATGAAGGCACATTCCAGGTAGTCTTTATTTTAGACACCCTGTGCAGATCAGAAAGCAATATGCAAAAAAATTAATCAGGCGATGATGTGAGAGATGAGCATGTTAGAAAGTGTGTGTGTTCATTTGTTTTGTTAGCCATCACATCAGGTGTGTGATCTGGTCACTGTGGTGTAACGGCCATCTCCAAGGAGATCTCTGTAGCAAGAACCATTCACACTCACACCACGGGTATTGGGCGCAGTGCTGGGTGATCGTCTTGCATTAGAAAGAGTGCATTAACACAGGGGAAGGCTCCAATGCCAACCAGTGTGAGCAAATATACAATTTACAGTTACATTTAAAGTGGAACTGACAGCGTTTTAACTACTTTGCAGATATGAGACAAACAGACAATCATAAATCAGTCAAATATTACATTCCCAGTTTATGCTACAAAACCAACTTTGAGGTTTTAAAAATAGATTATATTTCACTCAACATTCCATGATGTACACTAAGGCATTGTTGGCAGAATAGATGGATGCAGTTCAATGCATGATTAATATAATTCACCAACACATTTCTTGGTAGTCCAAAAAAATATTGCTATCAGGTTGTAAATCACAGCTGGCCTGGTACATTGTTTGCTGCCGCCATTCAGGATGCACTGTCAGTTTCCATGACTCAATAATTTGGACAAAAACGGATGAATGTAACTAAGGCTGGGAATGTCAATACAATAAAACTAGCAAGTGCAAAGATCACAAGTCAGTCATAACGTGGCTAATAGGCTAGCATATCTATTTATGTAGCAAGCTAAAAACACAGAGCCTAACGTTAGCTAGCTGGTAGGAGGATATCATTGGAGTGGGTGAGTAACTGACTTTTCCCCCTCATTGTTTTTCGGTGGCTATACACAGCTAGATATACAGGTATCATTTGATTAGCTAGCAAGAACTTGAACAACTGTTATCCAGTTAGCATACAGTACCAGTCAAAAGTTCAGACACCTACTCATTCAAGAGTTTGTCTTAATTTTATTTACATTGTAGAATAATAGTGAAGACATCAAAACTATGAAATAACACATATGGAATAATGTAGTAACCAAAAAAGTGTTAAAACAAATCTTGTCAGATTAAGTGTCATTCTTCCTGGGGGTTTACGTGAACCAATTTTTAAAAATATTTAATTTAGCTAAAATGCTGTCAGTTTCACTTTAATATGTGATCAAATGTGTTTAAATGAAGTACAGAGAATGAGTGAGAAGCACTATGAGGCACCCAATTGACCACGCCTTAAAGGCGCTGCATGGTCAATCCGACATCTGCATTACGTAGCATTTCAGGTGATACGGCCTCTGCAGAAGTCAGGGCATTCATACTTCTTGCGCTTCGTGGAGCAGCGCAGAGCTGTTGAGCAGAGCGTGTTTGTGTTTATACAGGACCCCCCCCCCCCCCCCCCCTACCCTACCGTCAACCAATCATGTCAATGCAGAGCTCTACGGAGCCCTCCGCATTGTTAAAACATGTGGGAGGCGCACGGCGATGAGGTACGGTGCTCGATTTGGTCTATGCATGCCTCCGGAGGACCGGAATTGCACCACACCCGCCATACTGAGCCTCTGACCACATTATTGGACCAAGCATAAATTGGCTCGAAGTCCTACCAAACACGTCAACGTATTTGATCCTGCTTTGTGACAGGTCTACCCCCCAGGTAATGTAACCAACCGGTAAACAAAGGGTTGTGGCCAGTAACTTCCCAATGCCTCAGCAGCTACTTCCTCAGAGCAGTACAGCTCCCTGAATGCATCTCTGGACAAGGATGACAGCAGTTCTCACTAGTCCCCATACACACCAACTGACAGGCTAAAAACCATGTGACCTGCACAACTACAGAACTAAACAGGCAGTCTTCTGGGAGTTTCTAGCCTTATTATCCCAGACTGTGGTTGGATTGACACCAGACAGTGACTGCAGTGTTAAGTGGATTTTCTAGTCTCTTGGAAAGTAGTGTCCTGATAGAATTAGTCAAGTCATTATTAAATTAGTACACAAGAGGTTAACTGGTATTATAAATCTGTGGGACATGTTGGATAAGAGAACCCTTGTGGCATAGGAAAATCTTCACTGGGCAGGAAGGGAGCTCAGACTGACCTGGAACTCATTCCTCTTGATGTGGGGCACGTCCATGTTGTGGGTGGAGGGGCACATGTCCTCATACTTCTTGTTGGTGAAGATGTCAATGCCCACCATGTTAACCTAATGAGAGGAAGGAGTGTTTTACTACACCACTAATAGCATTGTCATAACAAGTTAAGTAAAACCTAATTTGATGAGTCAAAAGTTATGATTAGTGAATTCAGAAAAAGCATTTCTTGGTCAATTACTACAGATGTGGACAATGCATGTATACCCAATGCCTGTTCACCAGAATTCCCCAATACTGCTGTAAATGTCCACCCTCTAGCAGGGGCATCCCTAGAGTGTAGTATTTGTATGCATGTCCAGTCAATCCCCTACCTTGGCGTGTCCGTGCTTTCCTGTCTTGGAGGTGGACATTTCCACGATCTTGCAAGGGCGTCCCTTCAGAACCACGTAACCATTCTTTCGCAGGGCAGAGCACTGCATAGGAATGGTGGCGGAGGCGCCAGACTCTCCGGTGGTGAAGTCAAGATCGGTGTCTGCCATGGTGCGATGGATTTGGGGCACTGCATGGGAAGAGGGAAAGATGCATAGGTTAGAACAGGCAATTACAGCTACAGCAGTGCCAGTTGAATTCAATGATGTATGAATACTGATCAGAAAAGTCCAGAAACCCTGATTTAAAAATCAGGAAAAACGTCCCCGATTGAGCTACCGCACTGGCAATACAGCCACTGGTCTGTACTGAATACATTTTTACTTTCGACTATATAGTCCCAAAACTCAGTCCACTCTTAACATTCTGAGACATCACAACACTTAGAATACCAGAGAAATGACTCACACATTGCTCAGATCAAGAACAGCAAGTTCTAAAAGGTGTAAAGAGCCAATGAGTGTCTACACTAATAATTTGATATTAAAACTGATTATGGCAGTAGGCCGAGTATGGCAATAGTGATGTAAACATCTTACTCTGCTCATCTTAAATCGGCGTACGGTCAGAATCTAAGTAAGCATACGCCGATTAAAACACCTGGTTTTCTGAGCAATCTCCCGAATTATTAGGACATGTAAACAGCTTAATCAAGAGTTCCAGCAGTGTATTTGATCTGCGCATGTGCCAGCATCGATCAGACTGACAGCGTCATTACATTTTGTTACACCAGAAGTATACTGTTACAGTTCATGAGGAAATCAGTCAATTGAAATAAATGCATTAGGTCCTAATCTATGCTTTTCACGTGACTGGAAATACAGATATGAATCTCTTGGTCAAAGATAGCTATAAAAATAATGGGCCTCAGGATCTCATCACGGTATTTCTGCGCATTAAAATTGCCATTGACAAAATGCAAATCGTGTTTGTTGCCTGCAGCTTATGCCTGCCCATACCATAACCCCACCGCCACCATGGGGCACTCTGTTCACAACATTGACATCAGCAAACCGCTCCCACGTGGTCTGTGGTTGTGAGGCCAGTTGGATGTACTGCCAAATTCTTCTCTAAAAACGACGTTGGAGGCATTTTACGGTAGAGAAATGAACATTCAATTATCTGGCAATAGCTCTGGTGGACATTCCTGCAGTCAGCATGCCAACTGCACGCTCCCTCAAAACTTGAGACATCTGTGGCCACCTTTAATGATCATGCTGTTTAATCAGCTTCTTGCTTGATATGCCACACGTCAGGTGGATGGATTATCTTGGCAAAGGAGAAATGCTCACTAACGGGGATTTAAACAAATTTGTGGAGTGTGTTCTGTGTGGTGCATACATTGGATTTATCCAAAACGTAGGCAATCAAATTGTATGCGTAGACTAAACAGAAATAGTAGCAAAAGGTGAATGTTGTACTTTTGTTGCACACATATCCACAAAAAATGTTGGGTTACATAATGAGAAAAGTTGGACAAGTTATTACAAAGCATTGATGCAATGACACTTTCGGTCTACTCAACGTGTTATGCGCAAGTGAAGTGAGTTCGGAAAAACTGGAAGCATGCATCTTAGAAATAGTTCACATACAAACTTTATATGTCCGAACTCCGAATCAAATAGGGTTCCCATAAATAACATGGCCGCTGTGGTAGAACATTTATTTTGATTGCCGATTTTCTGCATTTATCAAAGTTGATTGATTTCAGACATGTCCATGTAAACAGGATTATTAGTTATTGCAACGCATGTTAAAGTTGAAATGAAACTATTATATTAATCTGAGAATGTAACCATACTCAAATCAGGAAATTACTGAGCATTTGGCTTCTGACCATTTGAAATCGCATCCTCCTAAGTATCATAGACTTCCTGATTAAACTTTACAAAACCATCCTTCCATGCTCGTGGGGAATACGTCATAGCCAACATGTGGAGCTGGCGTGTCAAACTAATCCCATGGAGGGCCTAGTGTCTGCTGGATTTCCATTAAATTAAGACCTCGACAACCAGGTGAGGGGAGTTCCTTACTAATCAGTGACCTTAATTAATCAATCAAGTACAAGGGAGGAGCGAAAACCCGCAAACACTCGACCCTCCGTGGAATTAATTTGACACACGTGATGTGGAGGATGATAACGTGGGCATGCTGGACGTCCCAGCACGCGTGGAAAGCTTGCAAACAACCTTAACGGCGACTGCTAACAGATTTATTTCACAGATCAGACGAAAAGAGTGGACCAGGGCCCGACCTCGTCTGGTTAACCATTCCCACGCCCTGTCCACGTGTCCCAGTTTGGCCTGCGCCTTCGCTCGGGAGGCAGAACCGGAGTTCGCCGCGCAATAAACCTGCCGCATCATGGTGCCCCGGTAAATAACGGGTAGGCCTGGCCCGGGACGTTCGGAACTGACCCGACAACATTTATAGCCAATGTTGGCTAGACAGCTTCCTCTGCGCTAACGTCAACTAACTACTGATATAAACACAAGTACCAGCGATACCGTTCAGCCAATAAGTTTGGCTAGGTTAGTAAAAAAAAGGCTAACAATAAGATTCTGCCAGGCCCGGCTACAACACGTAACTAGCTAACCTTAACTATGCCTATGGATGAACAAATTGGGACAATACATACACTAACACCGATTACGGATTATAAAGACATACATACCAAATAGTTGTTAAATTAATAAACGACTCGTTGGTTTATAAATAGAAGCGATAACGTGTTAGCCAGATGGCTAGATTGAAAGCAGTGTTCGCTTACTACTGTTACTTAGCTAGCTAGAATGACAATTCCATGCTGTTGGTGGAAAACTAATTATTAATTTTAGAGGTTTGGCATTTAATCCATGCCAATGGAGATAACGTTCCCGTATTTGTACAAAGATAACATTCATTAAATGTAGCTACGACATGCTAGCAAGTGTTAGTTATTTACAAACACATTGTATTACCTAGCCAATTAGCTAATGTTATCTAGCGATTACCTAAAATGTCTCAACAAATGGTCATTTTCAGAAAGTTAATTGTATGTATGGTTTGTTAACAAATAGTCTCACGTCAAAGTACATTACAACATGGTTAGTTTTCCTAGCGGAGTTGTCAACATTCGGCTAGGCTAGTATGTCTAGCAAGACATGACTAACAACTTCCAACAAGCGCGCAGAAGGCCTCATGCCTCTTTTTCAGTAGAGCCGTGGCTACAGAAACGTGAAACATGGGACCCACACCCTATCGCTGAGAGCACCTACACTCAGCAAACAAACTTCATTTCGACCTTTTCACTTCTCTTTCGACTACCAAAACCTAAAATGAATCTGACCAGTCAAAAATAAACTGACATTAAACTACTAAAAGTTGTATGTTTCCCCCCCGTGAACAGAAGCACGCGCCATGCAACGCTTACCTTCCAGGAAAAAGAGGAACGGGACTGCGCAAGCGCGACCAATTTTACTGCGGCATCCGTAGGGTCGTCACTAGTTACCACAGCCACAAGTTCATAAACCCCGCCTATTTCTACAATTTATCTTAAAATGTTATTTTAAACCTAACCCTAACCTTCCAATTGGCTCATTCCTTCCCCCTCCTCTGCCCTGTAACTATTCCCTACGTCGTTGCTGTAAATGAGTGTGTTCTCAGTCATTTTATCTGGTAAAATAACCACACTGCTAACGTTATGCCTAACCTCAAGACCGAAAAGCAAATATTTGTTTATGAATTTTTACGATAGTCAGTTGACTGTGCTATCAAGTGGAAACGCATCCCTATAGGTTTCCATTAAAGTGGACCTTACATGTTCTGTTTAGAGACGAATTGTCTCTGACAGCCAAATACTCTATCTATACGTTAATCGATTTTCAATTGCGGTACAATTGTAAAAACATAAAGCCCTCTACTTTCATATCACATCCAAATAATTTCACAAAAGCTAAATATACACTTACTGTACACTTTTTTTTAACACAGTTGCAGCCGACAGTATTTTTCAGTGACAACCCGTTTGTGGCGTCCTTCCGTTCACACACAGGTGTTCGGAGACCCAGATAGCTAATTAGCACAGTTATGCCTTTAGTCCATGAGCCAAGGGGGTCGGTCGGGCTCACTTGGGCCGACGATGTCTCATAGTGATTTTTTTGAAGGTATATGTCCCTAGAGTTGGAAAATGTCTGATAGCAGTGCAGCAATTGTAGCTTTCTGTATGTTATCACTCTTTATTTCATTTCTCCCATTTTAGCCTATGACAAACGTCAGTACATAACATGTTATTGCTCACTTATACCCTTTAATCATATATAATTGGAAAGCTTAGATTCACAGCTATCCATCAGACACGTTTTCAGGTCAACAGGACTTTGACCTCTAGGATACATGTAAATATTACCTGTATAAATGGCTTTAAAAAATGAAAACCTGATACATTTTAAACTTTGTTTGATAAGTGGTTCTGAAAGTCGTGAAATTACCTTTCAAATTATATATAATATAACCAACTTTGAAAGCATCAGCTACAACTACTATTTACAAAATCACCTATATTGTACCATTGATATTGTCTGATGATTGAGGCACCACATTGCACACACACAGCTAGAACAGGGGTTTAAAAAGATTAGTAGATACTGGGCCCTCACAGAATTCACGCATTAACCCCATTGAAGTCTTTTTCCAATTTGGCTATAATTCTGTATTCCTTTGTGATTGGTTGAGTTTGTCTTGCATGGCCTGGTGCCCCTGGTGGGCAGAGTTTGTTCATTTTAGTCCATTCCATTGGTCCTTAAGTGAAATCTCCACCCACCCGGGGCACCAAGCCATAACTCGTATACAGGTAGACCAGAGAAGCCACATCCCTGACCCTGATTAGAAGCACCTGCTGCTCACTTGTTCCCTATCAATGCTGTTTTGAATGAAAAAAGATTTGTACCTACACACTGAAGAAGGCTGCAAAGCTGTGTATGCTATCCTTGATGCAGTGAAAGTAAAAAATTAGGTAAGCTTTATGCAACATCCTTTTGCTTAGGGTACCTACACGGCCATATATCCATGTTACAGCGCTTGTTTACGGAAACAGACGGAAGACCGAGGCGCACCTAATTGGCTATTTGTGTCTCCGAACACCTGTTTGTAAACGGAAGACTGACGCCACCAACGTGGTTTAAAACAGTGTACAGCAGTGGTGGCTGGTGGGAGGAGCTATAGGAGGACAGGCTCATTGGAATGGTATCAAAGGAACGCAGTCAAACATGGTTTCTATATGTTTGATACCGTTCCATTAATTCCATTCCAGCCATTACAATGAGCCCATCCTCCTATAGCTCCTCCCACCAGCCTCCACTGGTGTACAGTAAGTGTATATTTTGCATTTGTGAAATTGTTTTGTGATATGAAAGTAGAGGGTGTTGTGTTTCTTGAACTGCAACGCAATTGAGAATCGATTCACATTTAGATGGAGTATTTGGCTGTTTTGGCTGCCAGAGCCAATTCACCTCTAAACAGAACATGTAAAGTCCTTGGACTACAAGGAGTAACGATAGGCTCTTTTAGTCCAATATTGGGCTATGTTTGCTGAAGATACTACACTGGATGAGAGGGAATATAGGCTCATAACCCAATAATTTAATGAGAGAGGAGAAATTAGTCATTCACACACACAACACATCTTTAATGCATGTTGACATTTGGAAACATGAAGTGTGTGAGTAGGTTACATGGAAGTGTAAAACAAAAAGCATCCAGAATCACATGTATCCATGTTCATCAGCCATACACCCTACCTCCCTCTGTGTGTCGTGTTGACACAGGGAAGCAGAACACTAAATAAGTCAGTATTAACTTCTTTATTGCTAAACTGGAAGGAAGCTAGGATCCAGTGTACAAATACCATCCCAACATTGTGTTCCCTCATCATCAATGTTTAATAAAATTATCCTCACTAATTAAAAAACAAATATTTGTGACGTGAGCTTGGAGGCCAAAAAAGTATGAAGAAGCTGTGAGTAGGCCTACTGCAGTCAGTCCTGATCTGCTCTCCCCACACCTCTACATGCAGACAACCAGAACAGAACACTGGAGAACTGCTCTCAGACCAGTGGTTGAAGTGGGCTGGTGATGACCGGTACTGGTACAGAGATCAGGCTCTTCTGATTTGCTACAGCTTGAGTACCGGCACCTCTGATAGAATAATGGCTGTAAAATATGGACCCCTTTTACTATAGTCTTTTGTGACAGCCTTAACAGCTGAGATTACATGTAGTGTAACATTTTAAATGAATACTGGCAACTTTTTCATTCCACTTCAAGCACTGTCACACAATACACAGATCATGGAGGTGAAGCACCTTGGGTAATCTGCCATACACACACATGACACAGATCATGGAGGTGAAGCACCTTGGGTAATCTGCCATACACACACATGACACAGATCATGGAGGTGAAGCACCTTGGGTAATCTGCCATACACACACATGACACAGATCATGGAGGTGAAGCACCTTGGGTAATCTGCCATACACACACATGACACAGATCATGGAGGTGAAGCACCTTGGGTAATCTGCCATACACACATGACACAGATAAACCCATGGAGCCAGAGCCCTCTGTGGCTTCAGATCTACATACAGCAGTATTGACATTGGTTTTAATCACAAAAAGAACATGAAAATCACAACTGAGATTAGCACTCAAACAAGGAAATCATATGGACCCTCTGCAGAGCAGGACTTCATCTTATGTCTAGTGTTACGTGTGTGTGTGTGTGTTAAGGAGCTCAACATGGTGGACAAAGCTGGCGGGAAGGGAATTACGTGGCCAACAGTGTGTGATGGTGCTGCTGTGCATTTTAGAAGAAGACATCCAGACAGAGAGAAGTAAAGCAGTAGAGGATGTCTCCGTGATCACGTCTGTACAAGGAAGGACAGTTACGTTTCAACATCACATAGTGGAGTACCAGTCTGGGGGCGGGTTATTGATCCCAGTGATTCAGACGAGTTGAAAGCACACACACACACGCTCAGTCACACAATGCACAGACGTTCTTAACAGTGGCAGAGTTTAATCCTCATATGCACACACACTCTGATACTTACAAAAAATGTAAATACAAATTATACCACGATAAAAACACATTTTAGAAATCCCTTAAACCATTTTCTCTATTCTGTAGAAAGCCTTCTAGTATGAACATGATGACTGTCTTTTTCTAAATGATCAGTCAGATATCATAATGAAATGCTTAATCACATTTCCCCTACGGTTTCTTGGAATCAACCCCCTTCTCTCTAACCTATACCCCTGCAGTGTTCACAGATCTGACAGGACTAGATATGAGAAAGCAAGATGGCTGCCAACCCAGGTTCATACACCTGTCGGTCACGCTTATATTTATCCAGTCATTTCAGATATATGAAGACTGAAGAGGTACGCGATTAGTGGATGGAGTAGGCTCATTCCTATTACCCTGCATTACATACAACCCCACATCAGTAGTCTTATCATCATTGGTTCAGTACACACAGACACCCTCCTCCACTTTCACCAACTACCTTGGCAGATCTTATGTTACAGAGTCAGACACAGTATCCTAAAAAACTATATGTGATTCAAGTGAATATAGTGGAGATTCATAGTGTGGTCATTCTACCTGGCCGTCTAAAACTAGTTTAAGTACATTTAAACCACAGCAGTCTAAGGTCCTGACTGACGCTAACATGGTGAATCTCATTTTGGAAAGTTAATAGTCCCAACCACACATCTCTCCAGTTAGACCTGTGTATTGCCTTAGTTTAGAAGTCAGAATTGATGACAAGTAGAATAGGTGTGTCACTATGCACATGTACAGAAGCAGGTGAACCAACGGAGGCAGGGGAAGAGATGGAGAGAAGAGGTGGAGTGTAGGAAGAAGTCTGACCATTAACCAACCTATACGTTTGTCCAATGCAGCCGTTTTTATCTCCATATCAAATCATTTCTGGGTAACAATTAAGTACCTTACCGTGATTATTTACAATTAAAATGGTCAAAAAGAAACAGCTTCTTAGCAAAGAGCAATTTCTTAAGCAATAATTTTGCTAGTACTATCTGGGAGTGGTTTGAGTGGGGAGGGGAAAACAGAAAATTAGCTGCTATTGGCAGAGAGGATTGGAACTCTTTCTTATTGGTCTAACTCATTTACAAAAATAGTGATGTCACCATGGAAGCCCAAAACCCCCACCAAAACAGGAGGAAGATAAAGGAAACAAACTCAGACTGCTCTCGTTCTCTCATCATCCTGTCTTCCTTTTCTCTGTTGTTCCGTCTCAGTGTAAGAGTGTCCAATAGGAAAGCAGGTCTGTTTCAGATCATAGAATGTGGCATTTACAGATGTGTAACGATAGAAATATGGCAAATAGATCGACTGTCAAATAGAACATTCGCAGAGAAAGTGGGGAGCACAGGTGAACTAGAACAAGAATGGCATCTATGCCAAGAATATCATATTTTTGGTGACAA